CTTTTCTTTGTGCGTACCTCAATTTTTGTTTTAATAGAAGTTTTCGGGCAATTGCAAACCAATTACATCATATAAATGCCAAAGTTTAGAGGTATTACAAGAGAAAAGGATGATAGACATTTGATAGGAAAAAACGATCAAACCACACCACAGCATCTGCCAACCACTCACATTATTGAAGACATCAATATAGGCTCTCATGTCTCTTTACACAAATGATGCTGATATATTAGCATATGGCCACTGATACAACATAAAAAAAGAATAACGACAGAAGAAGAAATCTTCCAACAGGAATGTTTTTATGTGAGGTCTCTTTATACCCACCCTTCCTGAGTGGACAATTCTGTTACATAATACCAGCTTTTCTTTGGCTAAGCTTTTATCATCAGTCACAGAGAAAAAGCACATGACAGGGTATAGTATGCATTATCAATAAGTAATGACCAGTCACATTTAAAAATATGCAACAGTAGCAACTTATGTTAATTCTGTGACCACTGCAAAACATACAAATTGAATGTACTAAAATTCACAATAAACAAAAGAAAACAACAAAATAACCCAACAAACAACTATCTATTCATTCATTAAATATTTTAAAAACTTGATTTTATAGCACCAGAATGAACATGTCATGTAATCCATATATATAATATAAATACACACACACATAATAATATACTTCTATGGTGAAAGAGATTTTATGAAGTCGATATCACTAAAGCTGTAATACTTTCTCATTCTTCCAACTCTCAGTAGGAATAGGAGTAAGCACTGTCCCCTCACAACAGAAGACATACAACCATTTTTTCTTTGATAGTGTGCTCATGGTTATGAAAGCTTGGCTCATTCTGATGTTTCACTCAGTGGTCGTACGCACCAAAAGCAGTTGAGCTGAGCAGTAGCTGAGCCATGTTAAATCTTAGTAATATTATTTATACGCCGTTCGCACCAAAAACAGTAGACGTGCCGTATTGAGCAGTGCACTGCTAGCAGTGAGCAATAAAATACATCCCCGCATTTACTACCACTCAATGCTAGCAGTGATTTCATCATTTCTAAAATTAGCACACCCGAAATTTCCCGCCAAACCTCACCAAGATATCTCAATCAGCTCAAGACAGCTTCTACATTATCCTCTTCAAAGCCTGTACAACAAAACAGAAACAATACAAAGGATAGAGCCAAAACTTTTGAGTTCATAAGTTTAATCCAGGAATATCCATGCTTGTGGCCAAAACAAGACAATAATTTTATGAACAGAAAAACCAAGAGAAAACAACTTCAAGAAATTGCAGACAAGATGAACTTGCATGTGTCTCTTTTGGCATTAATGGGATAAACCCAATATTCTTTCTCACCATCAAATACAAGAGACTGTGGCAATAGTGATCAAATGCAGCAAACATATTTTACAGACCGCAATGTATGAACTGTCTCCGATACAAGCAGAGAGCTAGCAGAGAGAGCTAGCAGAGAGAGCTAGTACACACTGCTTTTATATTGCTTTTGGTAAGAACATGCAAGCTGATACATGTACTGAGCAGAGCGAGAGCAGCCAGCGAGCTACTGGACAGCTTGCCAAAACAGATTTTGGTGCAGACACTCGAGCCTACAGCTAGAACTCTTGCTTTTTCCGCACGAACTGAGAACGTGAAAATCATGCAATGCCAGCCACAATAAGAACTGACCTGCCTTTTTGAGAGAGGGAGAGGAAAGGAGGAGAGAGAGAGAGAGAAGGAGAGAGAGAAAGAAACAGAGAGAGAGAGGGGGGGATAAATAAGGAGAATAGAATAATGGGGGGGAGGGAATGAAAGGATCACCATTGAAACTATGTTCTTTGCACTATTGTAAAGCACACTGAGCACTTTCCAATTGTAACTGCACAGCATAAATAAATATAATGAATTATTATCATTAATAACTACAGCTTCAAAACTATAAACTAGTTTGTGAAATAACGCTATATAAATAAAAGCACTTGTACATTCCTACAATAAGTTTTCACAAGACAAGATCTATTCAAATCTACTGATTTTTTCAAATTCAGAAATCAGACTAGAAAGGTCAAGATAGAACTTAACAGACAAGAAACCTCACATTTATTACCAAAATGAAAGATTTCATTCTTTCTTGCAATGATTAAACCTCCCACTTCGTCACAAAGTAGCACTTCGAATTATTCCCAGGAAAACAAAATTTCTAACCGTGTAATAATCCCATTCGTCTGTACTTAACACAGGAGGGAGGAACGGCATGCTACATTCTTTTAGGTTGGGCAACAGGTAGCTGCATTAGTTAATTCTCCTATGAGAAGCTGGCCAGTATGAGACCAGTCCAACAGATGCATCGTGCCGATTAAAGAAATGGATATCATTTTTTGTGAATAAAAAAACTCACCGATTTAAAATAATCATAATAATGTAGACCATTTTATAGCACCTTTCCTTGTGTGCACACAGCTCTCTTAGGAGCGCTTTACATAATAAAACAATGCCTTGCGATCACTATGTATATGTTCCCAGCTTATTCTTACGTTGCTTATGAATTCACGGGGTCATTTTGCTCTGTTTTAGCTAACGTGCATTGTTGAAAATCCTCCAGTATAGCTGTTCATACATAAAATAACAAAGTTGTGACTATCTTTAAAATAAACGGCACCACCCGTTTATTTTGCACTCAAACTTTATATAAGATGAATACGCAAGAAAAACGGGGAGAAGTCACCAGAAGACTTTCAAGACTTAAGCCAGTAAAATTTCATCCACCTTATCAAAACCCCTTTTTGTGACCGATCCAAACTATACTACGACAGGACTCTGAGGCTTTTGCTTTCAATTTGGAGTGAATTTTGAAGTTTGATTTGATTTTGGTGAAAGTGAACAGTTGATGAGATCTGAAGAAATGGTGAAATGTTACATGCTTAACGCTCCTATCAACACTATTAGGAGTTAATTTAAGAGGCAGGACCTTCCAGTTTAACGTCCATCTCCGAAAGGACAGAGCAAAATAGGAAATGCGTGTAAAGTGCCTTTCCCAAGGACACAAAAGTCAGACCACGCTGAGGCTGGAACCCCCAAACCCGCAATCTCACAATTACAGGTCAGGTCGGTAGCCTTACCACTAGGCCAGCGACGCCACCCTGATGAGATATGTAGAGCTACAAGTTTAACAAGTGTGATGTCTCGCATCATCGTATTATGGCTGCTGTTGCCTTCTTGTTCAACAAGAACAAAACGACTTCAGTAACAATAGTGTAGGTTGGAATGATGCGTCAAGTGATGTTTGCAAACAAAGCAGTGACACTGACTGTGAACCAAGTCGTAAACCTGATGTGAAGGACAGCGAGTTAGCTGATTCTAGTCTTGGTCCTCTCACTAAGGCCGATCCCAGAGTAGCTCTGTAGGTCTGACCTGTAGCTCCCCTAGCTCGCATCGTGCAAATGAACGTACACATTATCATGTGCTTGAGCAGCGTCGCTGTGTGGTCTGTCTGTTGTCAGCTGAGCAGCGCGGCGCGTTAGATGTGCTATTCAACAGTGTTGTAAAACACGTCTGACATGTCGTGGCGAGCTACAGGTCAGACCTACAGAGCCACTCTGGGACCGCCCTAATGCTACTAGGGACAGGGCTGCACTTTTGCACCCAGTATTGGATCTTGACCCAGAGAAAGTCCTAGGAAAGATGAAGAAGGACATGCTTCATTCCTTTTGTTTGTTTGAGTTAAGAGAAGCACATTGAAACACTAGTACTGGTAAAAAGTAAGATAGACAGAGAGACAGAAATAACAGGGAAAGTAGAAAGTAAAGAAGTAAGACTAACCAGCAGCACCCTCCAAACACACTTAAATGAAAAAAAAAGAAGTTCCGCAGAGGCTTCCTAGAAAAGGTGTTTAGTTTGTTAGGGAGGTCGCTCAGTTCGGAGGTCCTTACATTGTATGTTTGTGGATTTGATCATAACAAAAGGATTTCCAGTGGCCTTCCTATTTTGAGCATGCTACAGAGGGAGGGTATGGGAATCGTACACTCTGTAATCAAATAATATCAAGTGTCTTTCTAATGTTTTTCAGATGGCCCTTGCAAAACGACGCTACAAGCTCTCCGGGAAAGGCAAGCTCTCTACGAGCCACAGGGAGCCTTTGAAACACATTGTGGAGCAGCACTTTACAATGCCTGCCAACAATCTACCCGCTGAACAACGGGTTCCCTCGACCCCTGACGTGAATCCCAACCTTCCAACAGATGTCGCCCCCCCCCCCCTTCACCAGCACTGCCATCAGGATCGAGGCGGAAGCTGTCTCAAGCCACACCAGTGAAGCCGTGCGAGTCATCCGGGACTCTGCCAACCACCCACGTGGACTTCAACACTATAGCTTGGCTCTTTCAGAATGTTCTCTGCTCGACAAGCCTGTCGTCGGGATCGCGACTTGAGACGGATAGTTCTCAGTCCAGGGCATACAGCAGTGTTTTTGAGGGTGGTCTGTCCTTCGTGTGGGACAGTAGCCAGTGACGGGCTGAGATCACAGCAAACATGCATGGACAAGGCACTGGAGGTCAACAGGGGGAAAGTCGCTGCTGGTCTGTGTTGTTTAAGTAAGAGTTTTACGGCGCTCGCATCGCTGTTGGTCTCTGTGTAGGTGTTGGACACTCTGAACTGACAAAGATGTCATAGTGTATGGGCATGCCCAGCATGCATCGAAGGACATACCAGAGCCATGCAGACTCGATTGCCAGCAAAGTGCTAGTTGTTCCACTGTCAATCCTGGGATGGGCCCGACGGCTGTTATGGATTTCTACAACAGCTATGATCCCTCAGTGATAGACAGCGGCGGTGTGCTGAACATCCCGCAAGAGGGCACAAGTCATTGATGGGCTCTGCGGCTGTAATAGAAGTCATAACTGGGCTAGTCATCGACTTTCATGTCATGTCCCTGTACTGCCAGGTAAATATTAGATTTGAACTTGAGTACTGTAATTGTAATGTTACCAGTCTTCTATATTTTTGTGTTTTCTCACCAGGTGTTAGGCAGAAGCTGGATAGGACTATTAGTTACGTCATTTCTCTCCTGCTCTCATCTTATTTTTCATTTTGTTCAAAAGCAACATTTATACGTATCAAAATAATAATAGGTTTTTTTTCTCAACTGATGTATTTTCCAAAAATGTCCCTGATAAAGAGACTACGGTAAATAATTGTATAATGCTCCAATTGCTCTTGTCTACTTTAGTTGTGTGCTACTACAGGCCAAAAAGCTACGGACCGTGGGGAGGACGCTCAGTGGTACCAACTCCATAAGCCCTCCAGCCAGAGGAACTACACCTGCACTTCAGGAGGCACGGAAACCGAAGCAGCAAAGGTGTTGTGGCAACGGTCACTGGAGCTCGGCTTGAGATACACAGTCCTCATAGGTGACAGGAACGTGAAGACCTTCAGCTCCATCACAGCTCTGGATCCACACAGAGCTGATCATCCTGTCATCAAGGAGGAATGGATAAACCATGTCTCCACGCACCTAAATACCGTGGGCCCATCATAGCAAACACGGAGCTACAGAAACATGCTCATTACGAAAGGACTTTTAGGTCCTGAAATTTTGTGTGTGTGCATATTCTTTGCAACCTAAAATTTGGGACATAGTGAAAATCAGATAATAAAAATAAAAATAGATTAATGCTATTACTAGATCTATAAATATCACATTTTGGTTACGAAATGAAAATCTTACAATAATGATGTTTGATTGTGGTGTTGTTAGTTGTTGGCACTGGTGATTTTTGGGAAAGAGTTCCACATTGATACACACTGGAAAGAGGCTCACTTTATTCCAACTAAATGCTGGGGGTAAGGTTTATCAAGTGGGTAGGTTTGTGAATGATATTCCTGAATGTTAACATCAAGACATCTTGCGATTAGAAGTTGAACTCATTCAGCTTTTTCTTTTTAGATGAATGTGTAATGGTATTGATAGCCTGTTGACATTTCTCTTTATATATGTATCTTCCTGCAGTTTCTGAATCATGCCTGCTACAAAGGCACATAGTAAGACCGAGGGCAGACGAAGCATCTCCTCGAAAAAAAGGAAAGCAGCACTGGAGAAGGCACGGGCCGCAAAGCTTAGCAAAAAGGAGCAGGATCAGAGGGTTCCTTCGACATCGGCTGAGTCATCAGCAGTGGCTACACCTGTATCTACACCCCAGTCAAGTACATCTGTTGAGTCGACCGCATTGTCTGCATCGACTCGTAAGCTAGCCTACAACGAGGGGTTACCCGCTTCCGCAGTTGCTCCATCTGGGTCAACAATAGTTCAGCTCGACACCCTGCAGTCGCTGTTCGACGGTCTCTTGTGCCCACAGTGTCAGAAACCAACCCTGACCTTATCAACTGGCGCCAAGAAGACATTCGGCCTGTCCATCCACTAGGATGTGACATGCACTGTCTGTGCAGAATCTATCACCTCCACCTATACGTCAAACAAATGTGGTGCGGTGTTTTCAGTCAACCGCCAGGCAGTTGCTTCTGCTGTTACTAGTGGGAGTGGATGGGCTGGCTTGTCCAAGTTTTGTGAGGTGATGGACATGCCAGTCATTCATCAAAAAACATTCTTGAGCCATCAGAAAGCTGCAGGGGAAGCCACCAGAGGCACTGTTTCAACAGTGTTGAAGGAGGCAGGAGACATTATTCGCCAGGCGTATCCAGAACGAGCAGGAGAGGAAGTCATCAACATCGACTTCTCGTATGACGGAAGCTGGCACACCCGCGGCCACACATCTAATTCTGACGTTGGCTGCGTCATTGAAAACAGGACTGGGCCGGTGGTGGACTTCCAAGTCCTCAGTAAGTACTGTCACAGGTGCAAGACAACTATGGCAAACTTGTCAGGGGAGGCGTTGGAAAATTTCTTGGCATCTCATGCTGCAGAGTGTGATAAAAACCATACTGGATCCTCTGGCAGCATGGAACAGAAGGCAGCAGTGATGATGTGGGGGAGGTCGGAGGAGAAGACTGGTTTTAGATATAGAAGTGTTGTGTGTGACGGGGACAGTAATACGATCAAGCAGATCAATGACTCAAAACCCTATGAGATTGTAGTAGAGAAGAGGGAGTGTGTAAATCACGTTGCAAAAAGTTAGGGACAGGTTTGAGAAAGTTGGTGGAGGACAAAAAAAAAGGTAAAAGTTACTTTAGGCGGGCATGGGAAGGGGAAACTTATGCAGGTTAAGATTGCAAAATTGCAAAAGTATTATACTAGAGCTATCAGGGCACACCAGAGTGTTCCTGAAATGAAAAAAGCTATCTGGGCGTTGTTCAGGCACTGCTTGTCAACTAATGAAAAGCTGTAGCACGAAGACTGTCCAGAGGGAGCAGAGTCCTGGTATTTTTATAAAAGGGCTATATCGAGAGGTTTGCCTGCACCGGACCATGAAAAGCACATGACAACGTACCTGAGTGACTTCGTGACACAGCACATGCTTTCGGTATATGAGCGATTGACTGACAACGAGCCGCTTTCACAGTGCATTGACAGGAAAACACAAACTAAAGTATCCACTTAGTGATATGGGCACGCTGCCCAAAGCATGTGTTTGTAACTAGAAAGAGACTGGGGGTGGCAGTGGCAGTCGGCGTCAGTGAGTTCAATCAAGGGGCGAGAGCAACTCATCAAATTCTCCAGGACCTGAGACTCAGCATCGGCTGTCCCACCAAGAAGTACGGTGACAAAAGGGACGGTGTTCGAAAGAGGAAAGCGGAAAAGGCGTGTGATAATGTTAATAAGAGGAGACGAGAAATGAGGAGGGCAGCCCAACTTTGTGAGGAGCAAGAGCTTGTGAGGGCAGGAGGAGGAGAACAGTATGCTGCTGGTGGGTTTTGACTCGGGATTATTGTGAACTCCAACGCTGGATTGTTGGATTATATTTTTCGACTCGATGAGTTCTCATAAATGGATGTTTTACTGAGAAATTGGATGTTGTCTGTACTAATTTTACCTCAATATAATCCTCAAACTAGTAGTCTTGACTTTTGTGCTTGGTTCCAATATCTGTATGTGTAGGTTTTTTCAGGATTACTAATTTTGTTACATTTTCTTCATTTTCTCAGAATGTAAAATTCTAAGGGGGAGGATTTCCAAAGTACACTATTTCTCAACAACCATCAGTTAGATCTCTTTGAAACTTGGCAGGAGTGTTGCCAAATACCTCACCTCTGTTCACTTAGAAGGATTTTGCAATAAACCTATTAGTCCCTAAGCTATAGCTCAGTGATCAAAGAAATTTTTTGAAATTGCAGATTATGTCAGCCGGTCCAAATGTGTACATATCTCCTAAAGCCTGCACAGCACAATATTGGATCTATTGTAAAATCCTTTTGTGGGAACATTCAACAATATAAAGTACTTACACCAATTTTTATTTTAAAAAGATACAACAGAGGATAGTGGTAAAATTGAGTTCTGTTTTGGGGTCCGAACCCCTTAAGTCCATGCCGCTCCTCGCTCAGATTGTGTTAGAATCACTATATCTTTATTGCAATTCAACAATATCCTCATAATCAACTCAATGAAATGTTTATAACAGCCCTTTATGCTCATGTCTTTAAAATGGGTCTCAAAGTAGTGTCTCCCCTTAAGGTGTCATCAATATGTAACTCCAGTCCTCTTTGTCAAAGATAATCTCTACATATATGATGGGCCAAGCCAAACAACTGATCAAGACAGGCAAGGAGGAAAATGGAAAATTATGACTGGTGCCCTCCCCCCTTCCCCTGTTGTTTTAACAAGCTGTGAAGTCACCATCTTGACCTAGTGAGGTTCCCAAAACTTACTACATCGCAAGCAACGTAAAACAAAAACATCTAACTACCAAAGACAATGGGCAATTTCTGAAATTTTACAGAAAAGTGTCGTCCCAAATGCACTAAAAACAACTAGATCACAAAATTATTAAAATTCACCCTGTCCGTCATAAGACAATCACTCACATTACGACTCAACCTGCATGATCACGACGGCCCCCACAACCAGGGCCAGAGCACAGACCATGAAGGCCACCATATACAGCTTGTACTTCTGTAAGAACGATTCCTCCACAATCTCCTCCCTCTGCTTCCTCGGCTTCTTTTTGCGTCCCTTCATCATGCGCTCGTACTCCTCAAGCTCTGCCTCCTGCTTTCTCTTTTCCTCCTCCTCTTTTTTCTTTGTGCTTTCGTCATCGTTCTATAGTAGAAACAAACAAAAAATAAAAAAGAAGCATATATATTTAATGCTTTTCCTGCTTTTATCTTTGTGCCTTTACATATAGTTAAAAACAAACATACAAAAAAAATCTGATCTTCCTCTTTTTCTCCTACTCTTTTTTGTTGTGCTTTCATCATCATTTTACATCAAAAGCAAGTGTACACCAAAAAAATTAAGTCCTGTAGTTTGGATTCAGATCATGGATTACAGTTCAAAATCAACACATTAAACATTTACATGAAGCCAGTTTTGCACTGTGCTTTGTTTGTTTTAGTAAGGTTTTACAATGCTTGCAACTGCACAAGGTCATATGAGCTCCAAGGGGTGGATGTCAAAAGAAATCCAAACGGGGAATCAGGCTTACTCTGTTCCCCTCTCTAGCCTCAACAGCACAAAGTCAGCTTTGACTTTCAAGGCACCTCAGAAATAGCAGTTCACAAGAGAGTGACAAACATACAAAAGAAGTAGAGGGAAAATGATGATAGTAAGGATGAGGAAAGAAAAAGCAGCAGTTACCTCTACATTGCTCCTGCACAGTATGAGCATGACATTGATAAATCGGCCCATTTACAATTTTACTGTGCATAAGAACATGTTAATATCCCCCTTTGGGAATGGCCTAAAGACAGCTTCAGTCGTTAGCACTGCCCTGGACGGGAGTTTGCACTACGCGATATCAGAACTGCATGCAACATCGGTGTAAAAGAAAGAGGAGCGAAAAAGCCCATCTCAGAACAGTGAGGTCATTACCAAACAGTAACGTGTGATGACTTATTTTCACAGACTTAAGTAAGGCAATGAAACACTGATGTCGTTACAATAAAAAAGAAAAACTTGCGTGGCAACACTAACCTTCTTATTAGATTTACAGTTCTCATCACAGACGGGCTTCACGGCCGTTGCCTTCTGTCTGCACACCATTTCCTTCTTGATTCTCCGACACTTGCAGCGCAGCGTCACCTTCTTCTCGCACTTGTCCACGTTGGGGCAGACGCCAGAGTGGCAGACCTGGCCACACGGATGCCCACATGCCATCTGTACGTGGGAACAGGTTCATACGTAAACACAAATACTAGTTATTCAGAGCAAGGAGAACAGTTGTGTTTTGCTAGGTTTTTTTTGTTTTATTAAGAGTTTTACAGCACTTGCAACACAGATAGGTCATCAGTGATGAAGATAGGGGTGTACAAGAGAGTAACATACAAAAAAAGGAGCAGTAATAGTTTTCCTTTTTTAGAAAGAGCTTTACAGCACTTGCAAAACAATGAAGTGACAGAAGTACCAAAGATTAAAAGTGTTACAAGAGAGAAACATTTTTTTTAAAGAGAAGACATAAGGACAATAGATGTTTGATAGAAAAGAAGGGGCAAACCACAAATGAGCACCAGCCAATTATCCATAAGAAAAACAGGCAAGACAACACTTAATTGTATGTTTGAATAAAGACATGCTGCATATCCACTCGATAATGGTTGTTCAGTACAGGGAAAAAGCAAGACAAACAGACAGAAAGAAAAGACGGACAGAAAAGAAATATGACCTACCAGTGGCGTCGTTCAAATATCATTTCCCCCCCACCCCCCACCCCCCCACCCCCCAACAACAGTTAAAAACATCAATACGACCTGTGCTCCCTTCCTCTTGCAGGACAATTTTTTTTAGCGGACCATTTTTCTCAAATCATTTTTTCCGCATCTGACTGTATTCAGAAAAATGCAATTTCTTCAATCTTGTTCAATATACTCCTTCTTGATTCTCTGACACACACAACATAATTCAAAGGAAACTATTCTTTTTTTTCACACAACTTGTTTCAGAAGGAACTATATTCCTTCACACAACTTAATTCAGATAAAATTGTATTTTTTCATACAACTTAATTTAGAAGGAACTAAATTTTTCCGCACAATTTATTATTTTTAAACTATTCTTTCACACAACTTATTTGGAAGTAAGTATAGTTTTTCACACAACTTAATTCAAAAGGAATGATTTTCTTTCACACAACTTAATTCTTTTTAAACTTTAGTCTTTCACATAACTTAATTCAGAAAAAAATATACTCTTTCACAGAACATAATTCAAAAGGAATTATATTCTTTCACACTACCAAATTCAGACAAAAATTTAAAAAATATATTCTTTCACATCACAGAACATAATTCAAAAGGAAATATATTCTTTCACACAACTTAATTCAGGAAAAAAAATATTCTTTCACACAACATAATTTAGAAAAAAGAAATTCTTTCACACAACTTATTTCAGGAGAAACTAAATTCTTCCAGAAGAAACTACATTCTTTCAAATTACAATAAGACAGAACGAACAAAACAATACATCTGCCAAAATTTTGCCTACCTCCTTAGGACAAGGCTGGCCGCATGACTTGAGGGTGTCCTGCAGCTGGGTCGACGCAGCCAGCCACTTGTTGCACTCGATGTGCTTGACCAGCGTCTGGCAGTGGCAGCGCATGCGCACCATGATGAGGCAGGGTGGGCACGGCGCGGAGTGGCATGGCTTGACGCACGCGTGGTTGCAGCCTTTGGGGCGCTTGGCTTCACAACCCAGATCACAGGGGGGACACTCAGCGCCAGCCTGGTCACAGAGAAAGAGGTGGGGTGGGGGACAATGGGGAAAATCACTTAAGGGTGTTACAAGAGAGTAACATGCAAACCAAGAAAAACAAAAAAAAAGAGAACTGGAGGAGGACGATAAGTGTTGGATAGGAAAGACGTTGCAAAACATACTAGAGCACTCGCCAACCACCCACAAGAAGAACAGGTTTAGTTTTAGTCTTAATAAGAGTTTTACCACACTTGCATTATAATAAAGTCATAAAAGTGTCGAAGATTATAGGTGTTACAACAGAGTAGCAAACCCACAAAAGGAGGAGAGATAAGGACAACAGATGTTTCATAGGAAAGAAGGAGAAAACCACAACAGAGCATCTGCCAACCACCCACAACCAAAAAAACTTTGCATTCTGAAAAACAAGACAGAGTCGTGAAAGAAATAACTTTCACAGAGTCAACCAGACTGAAATGTATGTAACACAGAACAGCAAATCTTGGTGTGGGTCATCAACGGTTAACTACACCACAAGCAAGCTGAACTGTGCATGAGTAAAACAAAATCTTCTTAAAACATCAGGTCTGAAAGAGACATTGGCAGCCAGGGTGCACCATTTATTTCTCTGCTTCGCTGCTGTTAAAAAAAATAAAACCCACTTTACTGTCCTCGTCTTTTCTCATGGCTCATCTTTTCAAATAAAGTATCATTTAAAAATAATACTTTTTTTCAAAAATAGCCCCTCAACATTCAGTATTTCAAGGAAAAACATGCTAGAAACATATTCTTGCACCAGGACTTATTTAGTTATCACTTCCAGTACCAGTCACCTAGTGGGAATGAAAAAAGGAGGGACCAGTAGCACCTTTCAACAAAGAGAAGCATGTCAACACAATGGTCATTCAGTGAAGGGATGCATTCTTGCTCTGAGGCATACCATAACTCAAGGGTGGTTAACAGGTGCTCTCTTGTGGTGTGCTCCTCTTTTCCTATCAAATATCTGTCGTCCTCAACTCTCCTTCTTTTTGTTTCATGCTATTCCCAAGTAAAACCTCGAATCTTCGGCCCTTATATGACATATTTGCGTTGCAAGTGCCTACATAAAAATCTTGCAGAAACGAAACCACGACGTACCTCATGAACACTCGGGGCGCCAGTCACTGTGTGGCAATCCTGCTGACAAACATGGTTCCCACAAGCCAGTTTCCTGCCGCAGACACGCCCGCACGAGTATGGCTTCACGCGGTGGCATGGTATGTCGCTCGTCTGTGGACATGCAGTCAGGTAAATCTATGGGTGGAGGCCACAACCAGTATCCTTGAGCAAAAAGACTTAACCCCAGCTTAAAGGCTAAACCCCTATACCTAAAAGATTTCACCTTAACATGAACATCTTTAACCCTGCCCTAAAGACATTACCTTAACCGAAAAGACTTTAAATCTTTCTTTAAAAAACTTAACTTTACCGGCCTAAATGGCTTGAACCCTGCTCAAAAGACTTGAACCCAACCAAGAAGACTCTACCTCTACCTAAAATTTTTTTAGCCAACCATACCTTACCTTAAAAACAGTAACCCTACCATAAAAACTCTAACTCTACCTAAAAGACTTACCATGGCAAAGAGCCATTGTATCCTACCTCCCTCCATCCTGCTCTCTTGCTTTCCCCCTCCCTCCTCCATCATCTCTCTGACAAAAAGCATATGGTAACTACCACTTATCAAAACTTAACTATTTTTTAGCTTGCTCAAATTTGAGTAAAGAGAAACACATCACAATGACTGTTATTTCTTGCTGGGGAAAAGCAAGACAGAGGGTAACAAACAACAGAGGAAAAGTTATGGGCAGTATCCTTCAATCACCCACCTTTTGGGTATCTGACTAAAAACGAGAGGGTACAAACCTCATGCCTCCCGAGGCACTGTGTGGGTATAGGAACCTGACAAGGGGGGCAAGGCTTAGCCACTTTCTCAATCCGTACCTTGGTCGTCTCCCATGGAAATCCCTTCTCAGCCTAAACAGATACAAAAGAATAGTGTAATGTTAAAATTCTCCACTTATAGTTTAGTTTGGTTTGATAGACTGTATTTTGTTTGAGTGAAGAGGTTATATAGTGTTGTGAAAAACCAAGACAGACAGATAGAAACAACAGAGGAATAGAACAGAAGTAGGACTAGGAACTTCTAGTGGCGCTCTCCAACCGCCTGAAGTTTGGTTTGAGAAAAAAGCCCATCCATATTTTGGCAGTTCTTTAGAACTGGGGAAATAAACAAGACAAAGAGAAACAACAGAGGGAAAGAAAAAAAGTAGGATCTACTTGAGGCATCCCCCAACTACCCACTTTCTAAGGATTCAAGTACATAAAAAACACAAAAAAGAAAATTCATTTCTCCAAGAAAATAAAAAATACAGCAACTGCTAATATATCAGTGGAAAATGTACTTTAAAAAAAAAAATTATAAGCGCAGCACAAATGAGCACGAGCCCAATAGCCAGATATTTAACAACATAGATTATAATGTAATGGGTCTCTTACACCGATCTTCAATCATTGGTCAAGCAACGTAAGCTGAAATGGTACGGCCCTGTCACCCGTTTTTCCGGCTTTGTTTAAACCATTCTTCAAAGTGCTGTGCAGGGAGAACGAAGGAGAGGTAGACAGAAGAAGAGATGGGATGACAACATCCGAGAATGGACAGCCATGGAGCTGCGGGACACACTGGAGAAAGCAGAGAGCCGAGAGGAGTGGAGGAGATTTGATGTCGTCTGTCACAGGCGACACAAAAGATGACAAATCTACGGGAGCAGAAGTGGAAAATCATAATAGAAGGGAGGTCAAAGATGAAAGTCACAGTCATAAACATCCTCATACTATTTCACCAGCTGTCCAGGCTGTGATCTGGCACTTGGCAATGATAGATCGATTAAGCTGAAGGCACCATCCACTTCTAAATTGAAAGAGTTCTCCATTCACTCAATCATTCCTAACGCAGTCATGTTTAGCCAGAGACAAAACTGTAACCTTTGTAATAAAAAATCAATTTCACCTTGAAAGGAAACCAGAGCCTTGTGTTCTGCCTGAGGCATTTGCTAAATATGTCACCTTGTCTTTTATTCTGGTCTCAACAGCATCATAAATACCTCATACTACACTGTCTTCAATACTTGTCTTTAAAGCATGGAATATAGGTCTCCTTGTCTTCAATCCTAGTTCTCAAAGCTTTATAAAATAGATTTACCTTCAAATAGTCAAATAAATTACCTTTTCTTCAAATCTTGTCTTCACAGCATCGTGACATTTGAGGGGACAGCTGTGCTCACAACCCTTCAGCCTCTGCCCACACACAAAACTGCAGGGTGGGCACTCGCCAAAGTGACATCGATGTTTCTGCCGGGCCGGGTGGTGGCATTCGCTGGGAGCCCTGGGCACAGAGAATGATAAAAATAAAAATCATAAGAATAATAATAATAATAACAGATAGCATTTGTATAGCGCAAATTCCTGCACAACATGAAGCCCTATGCGTTTATAGAGAAAGGAATTGTGGTTCCGAGGCATTGGTTGTAAAGTGCATCATAAAGCATGCTGTAGAGCATGGATGTGTACTATGTTCATACAATTAGTAATATATAATATTATCATCACTATTATCCTTAAAAGAGAACAAGTTAACACAATGAAGATAAACTCATAACCTTCACATATTTGTTTGTATGCTGTTTATTTGTTTGTTTTGTTTTTTTAATGGTTTTATGGTTGTTTTTGTTTTTTGGGGGAGGGGGTTGGGGGGTTGTTTTTGTTTTGTTGTTTTGGGGGTTGTTTGGGTTTTTTAGGGGGGGGGGGGACGGGGACAGAATAGCACAGAGACACAAATCCACACAATAACAGTCACTTGTCGTGCAGGGAAAAGGTAAGACAGATGAACTAAGAAAAAAAATGGAAGGAAAACTGAAATAGGGCCTACCTCTAACACCACCCACTTAGCACCACAAAGTTGTCACATGAGAGCACAGGAAAACAAGAAAGCAACAACAAGCTCGGGACACAAAAAGAGTGTCACTAGATCTAGACACATGTAAGGAATCTAAATAACTACAAATTGACAGCAGGCAGTGTGAGGCTATTGTCTCGGGTCTACCCGAGTATTGCAGAGCGCCAAGACCTTTCCATCACAAATGGCAGAAATCGTATTAAAGGAGTTATTATTCCAATTGAATATAACATTGTTGAAAAATTTGACACGTATTACTTTAAAATATGCATTTTGCTTAGGTGTGCAGAATTTTGCATGCATTTCTTGAAAAATGTACAGCATGCATTGTGCTGACAAAACGATTTACTTCTCTCAGTCAACTAATGTAGGTGTCTGCCGAAAATTGACACAGGGGTCAAATTTTTAGATTTTCATTTTCTTTAAATGAAACATGTCTTTTACCATTTCATACTAATAAGCCGTACAAACCCTAACTATACATTTGACATAATTATTATTATTTTCATTTTTATTATTATTATATTTTTTTAAAAATTATTATCATTATATCATTATTATTATGACAAACAACAGGAGCCTATGACAACTTACAGGCAAGGCAACTTGCACTTTGGCGGCTTTGTCTCCCTCTCCCTGCCGCAAGGCACGGAGATTTTCGTCTTCTTGCAGAAGCAGGAAATATCCACCGTGAGGGGACAGGGATAGCACGGCCCTGAAACAGGGAAAAAGGAGACATTAAATTAGACAGTCATTATGTAGTCGTCAGTAAGAGATGAGGTTTAACCCCCCTGGCCTAGATGTGCAAAGATTGGAGGAGGTGGCCAGAGACAGGCAAAGGTGGCATCGACTGCATTCTGCCTCATAAATCAGACGATATGGGGAGAGAGTAGAGAGAAAAAAAAAAAGAAAAGAAAAAAAAAACAACCCTAAAAAAATATATATATAGCTGGAAAAGAGGCAGATGTAGACCAAGAATAAGCTACTTTGTAGAGAGAACTTGAACTGACAGGTAATAAGAAAAGACTAAGATAATATGAGTGTCATGGTGGTGAAATCCGAGACTCATCACAAGCGAAAGCAGACGACAGAATATTGCTAGAGAGCAGGAAAGGAGGAGAAAGGAGGTGAAAGGAGACAATTTTAGAGAAGAAAATTTTTCAGTCGCTACCCAGATTCGAACATGGGACCTTTGAATAAGAGGCCAACACCTTAACCTCTAGGCCACGAAAGCCCCCCTGACTCACCTTTATGGCAGCGACTGGCACACTTGTGGTTGCGACAGCGTAACGTCTTCCCACAGATCTGCTCACAACTGGGGCAACCTCCATCACAGCACTTAACAGGAGGGACAGGGATTTGGGGAGGGAGGAGAACAATGGTCAAACATTTTTTCTGGTAAATTTTTGTAAGTTTTACAGTACTTGCAACACAAATAGCTTACATAAGTGCTTAAGATTTAGAGGTATTCTGAGAGATTGACATACAAAGAGAGATAAGATAAGATAAGCTCTGATAAGGTAAGTGTGAATTTTACTGAAAAACTTTGATACACGGAACAAAATAATATGTACATTTTCATTTTTCAAGGACTTTCAAGACATTCAAGATACCAAACTTCGAAGGCCATTTTCTCTCTAAATTCATCTCTGAAACCAGGCTACACACAAACACCTAACCCCCCCCCCCCCCCCCCAAATCGCAAATATCTTGACTTCTATCCAAGATTGAAAGGTACTTTTTTCATCAAAAGCAAGGCAAAGAAATAAGCTCTCAGATGATACCAAGAATTCCACATGCCTAAAAACTGACTAGCACCTGATATCACCACGTCGTGATACACTTTTTACGTACTGGTTAGCAGCTATGCTATTGGTATATCATGCCACTGAGATCGTAAAATCCTTCTCAGGTACGCTTCTTCTACAGTAGAGCTCACCTTTCTATTACACTTGTGGACCCCACAGTTCCTCATGTTGCTACATTTTTTATCACACTGGAACTCCTTGTAACATGGAATCTCTTTCTGCCTCTGGCCACAGCGACATTTCTTCACAGCCATCTGCATGCACTGAGAACAGAGCATTGGGAGTCAATTACCAGACACTGCACAAACCGCAAGAGCTAGGACAGTGCTGCCGTAAGCTGACAAAACGTCTTTTTTCATTTTGGCGCCAAAAATTTGAATTTGCTAAATAGAAAGCCTGATCAGTAACCCTACTAGTGTGAAAAAATCAAAGTGAAACTGTGACTAGTTTTTGAATAACTTAGAATCCAAATTTCAGAAAACTCTTTGTCTCGTAACTGCTGTGAATTCTAAAAAAGGCGTTTTGTCAGCTTACGGCAGAGTAGAGATGGAAACTACTGGAATGCTTTGCCTCTTTGTTTTAGTTTTCCTACATTTACAAACTAATGGTCAATTAGTGCTAGGAAAAAAGCCAGAAAGACAGACAGAAACAACAGAGACACAAAAGAAGTATGTTTTCATACACTGACACAGTAACGTTCATCTAGTGCAGGGGGGAAAAAAAACAGAAATACCAACAGAAACAACAAAGGGACAGAAAAGAAGTAAGTCTTCATACACTGACAAACTGACAATTATTTATTGCTGGGGGGGGGGGGGGAACCAGAAAGACAAACAGAAACAAAAGAAGGATACAAAAAACACAAAAAAGTAAGACTAACAAGTAAACAATCTTTTCAGGGGAAAAAAAGTCGACTATACTACACTGGCAGACCACTAAAAGCAGGCAGGGAAAACTTACCTGTCCACATTCTCCCAAATGGCACCGTTGCGTACAAGTGTGTGCCCCACAGGTGAGAGGTTTAGAACATGTGTCACCACAGGTGGGAATGTCTTCTGTACACGGCAACTGAAACTCTGTGGAGTAACAGAGACAAACGTAATTGAAGCTGTGGAGTGGTAGAGACAGACGAACATTGCAACTGAAATTCTGTAGAGTAACAGAGACAGACAGACATTGAAACTGAAACTCTGAGGGAGTAGCAGAGACAGACAAACATTGTAACAGAAACTCTGTAAAGTAACAGAGACAAATGTTATAACTGACAGTCCGAGGATAGTTGAGACAGACAAACTTTGTAACTGAAACTATGGAGTAACAGAGACAGACAAACGTTGAAACTGAAACTGTGGAGTAGTAGAGACAGACAAACACTGTAGCTGAATCTCTGTGATAAACTCTGTGAAATGATGGAGACCGACAAATTAGAAAGTCTTTCGAATATGAACAGTTCCGCAACAAAACGAGATAGATTCATATTTCCCGATTTTGAGAAAAATGATTTGTTCTTCACCCATTTACTGAATAACTTGAGCAACCTTGTTTTTAGATTAAACATGATGTAAGAAGGCTCAGTGGTATATTCGTTACACTATAAAATTAGTATGGATGATTATCCTTTGACTGATTCCGTCCATTCGGCCGCTGACAGCGGCTCTGAGTTTTTCTGCTGCATCCATTCGACCGCTGTGAGCGGCAAACAAAATTCGAGCGAAATCCGAAACAGATGTGTACTTTTTAACACAGTTCCTACTTTTTACGTTGTCGAAAGGAAGTAGAACTTGTAAACAAACCTGACCTCAATCTCTGAGCGCCAATATCGATCAAAACTCGGCGAAATTCTTGCAAAAATTGTAGTTTTGTAGTCGCTGTGTTGGCTAGATATAAGGGTAAATAACACAGAGCCCGGTATAAGAAAAAAGCCCTTCAAAGAAAGATATTCAACTAAATTTGTGAAATTCTTGCATAAATGTGTGCTAGGGTGATAACGCTTCAATTTTGTTTTGATTCCTATGGATTTGTAGAGCTGAGAAAATGCGGTAAGTCGAAATTTTCGAAGAGGTGTTGTGCAATTTTTTTTTCCTCATTCGTTCTTATCTGACGGAAAATACAATACAAACAGATTATAGGTCATTGTTATTGATATAAACAGATTCCTCTATTGATTCCCATCACTTTGGTAAATGACAATACCTATTAGAGTAACTTAGAGCTTCACAGTAATGCATTAAATAGATGCATCCCAGGTCTAAAACTGAAAAGGGAAAAATAATTCTGTCCACAGCCAGAAAAAATCATGGATGGAATCAGTTAAATTGAAGAAACCACCACACATTTTTGACTAAACGCGACATATTAACATTACAATAATAAAGAATGGGAAAAAGCTGCTGACAAATTTCCATCGACCACAAGCAGGGCCACCCGACTTAGGGAATGAACTAGATTGAAGCGCAGAGGGTATGTCACTGCTTGTCAAAAAAAAGTGTCACCTTCGGTAGTTCTTTACTTTAAAGAGGAAAAAATCGTGTTTTATAGAAAATGAGATTGACTCTGAAATGTGCCTCACCTCTCTAGATACTAGTTTCGAACAAACTTCGAAAATGGCATTTGCCAAATTTTGTTGTCAAACAGTTCATATTATGGTAACTGAAACTCAAAAATGTAATAGAGGCAGACAACCATGATAAATTCTGCCAGTAAAGTTATCTTCTTTCCTTTCTTTCTTTTCTTTTTGTCTGTCTGTCTTCTGTCTATCTGTCTGTCTGTTTCCTCTGCACTAAACGACTGTTATTGTGTCGAAGCGAAGCACTTCTCTTACTTCAAATACAAAGACTGGACAAGGACTTATCAGTTTTGATAGAAAAGCCATCCTATGCATGGACTTGTGTTCCAAAGAATTCGGGTTCAAAGTTCTCTTGAAACAACCATAAGCTTCATTCGGTCATTGTATAGGATCACCCTTAGGAAGCTATTTAAGGGTCTTTTCCTGTCACCCATCCGTTTAAGTTCTTTATTAATTTATTCTTAGTCTCATTTGCCCTTTATTCTTCCAGTTCATTGGTACAACACAACAACAAAAATAATTCAGATGACAAAACATACCACAAAGCATGATAGCATCTGGTCCTTCTATTCTTCCCGTTCATTTGTACACAACACAAAAAAATAACAATTCAGACGATAAAACATGCCAGAAAGCATGATAGCCAGCTACTAGTACGTCTTCATCAAACACCAACCTGTTTTTCCACAAGGGCATTTCCTCCTTCCAGAGCGAGGGCATTCCCCACAGCGACCGGAGTGGCACACCTCCTCACACACGTGATTCCCACATGACAGAGTTTTGCCGCACACCTGATCACAAAGTAGTCACATGAGAGGTTTATTTGTTTGAGCGTAAAGAAAAATCAAATTGACACGATAAGTCATTTCATGCGGGGAAAAAGGCAAGACAGACAGACAGACAGACAGACAGACAGACAGACAGACAGAAAAGACGTAGGACTTAGCAGTGGCGCCCTCCAACCACCTGCTCTAAAAGAAGTAGATGGAGAAGACTTCACCAGAGCCACTAAATGACAATGCCCACAAATACATATAAAAAAGTTGAATTATCACACCATCAGGAAAGTACCAATAAAAGCAGAAGGATGCTAAATGTACTGAAAAAACAAACACAATAACAGTGAAATGAACACAAAATGGCAAACAGAAACAAATCGACCGCCAGCAGTTACAATGTACTAAGCCCAAAAATTGTTAATCCTTTTTTTTTATGGCAATTTCTTAATCTGTGGTATTGGTTGGTTAAGTTCACGAAATATTGTGTTCAAATTTAAATCCTTCATGTTGAAAAAGCTAGGAAAAAGTACATAATGTAGGTACAATTGTTAAGATAATCACCTGCACAAACAACTGGTTCCCATTTCTTCCCTAGGGTTTTTTCTTAAAATATATTATAACGACACTGTCCAAGACATCCACCTTTCTAAAACAACCAATTTTTTCCCGACAAAGGATAGCTGCCTTTGACAATTTTGACTATATTGCTGGGCTAGAACTCGGATGGCTGCAGGATACGAAAAGTAAAAAGTAAGAGTAAGACAATATTACCTTATCACACTTCCAGGAAACACTATCACAAGGCCTTTCTGACTTCTGTTTGCCACAGCAGCAAGCTTGTAAACTTGTCTTGGTACACGGTGCACACTCTCCTGTTGGAACAGAACAAAGATGTAGGCAAAGCAGTAATGCTTGAAAAAAAGCTTGACGCTTTCACATCAAATAAAATTCCATTTATGCGATTTATTTTTGTTTGAGTAAAGAGAAGCACATTGACCCAATAGTGGTCATTTAGTGCTTGCAAACAGTAAAACAGACAGAAAAACAACAGAGAGAAAATAAAGAAGTAGGACCTACCAGTGGTGCCCTCCAACCACCCTCTTGTGCCATTTAGAAGATGCAAAATCTAATGCATTTCCTTTTCAAATAGAATGAAGTAGAAACTTTTATAAAACTCTACAAAACACATGTGAAGTTTTTTTCCAAAATCATTCCAGTTGAGAACAAACTTTGTGAGCAAAGATATGGCAGCAAAATTCAATAAACTCTGTTAGTTTCCAAACGGGGCCGAAATAGTCCAACAATGATATGAACATTTACACAACCCAGCGACACATCCTTTGAGGTAAAGTGGTGATGGTGAGGGAAGTGTTCTACCTTCTGTTTTTAATAAAGAGTTTTACAGCACCTGCGACACAATAAGATCATGTAAGTGCCAAAGATTAAAAGTGTTACAAGAGAGTAACAAACACAAAAAAGAAGGAGGAGAGATTAGGACGATAAACGTTTGATAAAAAAGAAGGAACAAACCACAACAGAACACCCGTGAACCGCCCACGTTTTACCTTCAAAAGCTAACATTTAAGCAGAACAATCAGTGAAACAAGACTGGCTCTGTGGTGAAATGATTGCACTTTTCATTATGTCTATGCAGAAGACGCGAGTTCAATTCCTGAGTGACGAGGTTTTGTTTTTTAATCAAAGTATCTCTGTCTGGCTACTGGGATGCTGCACCCTCCTTGTTTCGAGCTGACATTTTGGCAGGCAGGGACGAAGCAGCCAGCCTCCTAAATTATCTAAACTGTTTCAATAGAGGCATAAAAACACTTACATCTACCTACTTATTAGCAAGAGAGATTGTTCTAGTTTTAGTAAGACTTTATGTAACCTAAGGCACTTACAACACAATAACGTTATAAAGGGGCTGTAGATTAGAGGAGTTACATGAGAGTAACGAACGCAAAAAAAGAAGGAGAGATAAGGACGACAGATGTTTGATAAGAAACAATGAGCAAACCACACAAGAACTACTTGTCAGTTTGTTTGGTTGTATGTTTGGGTAAAGAGAAGCACATCGACACAACACTGGGCATTTAGTTCCACGGAAAAAGTCAGACATACAGACAGACAGAAACAACAGAGGAAAAGAAAAGAAGTAGAACCAGCCAGAGGCACCCTCCAACCATCCACACCAGGGCACCTGCCAACCACCCACAAGCAAGAGGGGAAACAGAACCCAAATAACATGAGACAATGGAGTAGGAGACACAATCACAGTCAGCAATCTTTATTACCTGCATGACATTTCTCCGGGCACGTGTGTTGTCGACACGACAAGGTTCGGCCACACACCTTGCCACATGCCCACTCCCTGGCACTACAGCGCGTCGCTCGCGGGCTCGACTTGCCACAGTAGCACTTCGTCTTCCCCATCACGGGGCAAGGGGGACAGGGACCTGAACAAACACACGGGACATTGGTGTAAGTTCTGCGTCATCACACACGACAGGTCATTCGATTTTTCCCTTGTTTTGACATTGATATAACATTGATGGTGTTAGGTATGACGCCAATTAGACGTGAAAGTCTAAAAACTGTAGACCCCTTCAATACAAAAATTCAGGTAAATATTTCAAGCATTTCTATTTGTTGACAACATGTTGTTTTTTTTTATCAGGTTTCAGAATGTTTTGGAGTTGGCCCATTACTGCCAGACATCATCGATATTTAGGAACATGTGTGTCGTGAGAAACCTGTTTCTTTGTTCATTTCAGTTAACAGAAGTGCATAGATACAGTAAATTTTATTAAGTGCCAGAAAAAACTCAAGATGGAGATATAGAAACAACAGAGAGAATGAAAGAGAAATAGTACCCTCCAACCATCCTCCGAGAGAAATCTGGTGTACAACAGATTCAAAGGACCAATTAAGAACTCATATTATGAACCAGAAAAAACTAACAATATTAATTAGGAAAAAAACAGACCCATCATCATCACGGATCAAAACATCTCGGAAAAGAAATAATGGAAGAAAATAAATGACCAAGCTATAAAAGTAGTGACTGAAACACAGTGAACACTGAAAAACAGTACAGAGCTGTCAGTGTTGGTCCACATCATCCTAAGCTTAATTTAGTTTCGGTAAGAGTTCAACAGCTCTTTTTCAACATAAACAGGTCATACAAGTGCTGAAGTTTAGAGGTGTTACTAGGAAGTAACATACAAAGAAAAGAAGGAAGAGAGATAAAAGGACAATAGAAAACTGATGGGGAAGAAGGAGCAAACCCCACTAGAGCACCCGCCAGCCATCCACCTCCAAAACTGTGATATTCAAAGAAAGACTAGCATATTAGTAACCGGTCATCCTGTGGTTGACACATCAGTCGGAACCATACCTGCCAACAATATTTTTTTTTAGAAAAAGTGATTCCATCAGCAAGATATTGGATACCTTTAATTGTAACATATAAGTACTTTGCAAACGATCAAACAATACGTTTGTGTTTGTTTCTCAAATGTTGTTTTTTTAACAAAGATTAAATATGAAAAGTTGGGAAAAGTATGTTTAAAAGCCTTACTCAAAGCCAGTGTTTTTGTGAGTGTTTTCATTCTCGGTCTTGAAAGAGCACAGCCGGAAGATGAGTATACCCATCCATGGTTACTTTGGTATTAAACACTTACAGCCGCAGGCGAGTATACATTTCCTTCACAGAGTACAAGCCACCTCAAACCTGGTCACATTTTTTTTTTTACCGTGATCCATCCAATTGTCTCTGAAAAATATTCCACATGATGTTATCTTCTAAAACTTTAAACAAAGGTAGCATAGAAATTCTTTTTAAGTCTGCAAAAAAACCCACAAAAAATGCAGACAAAATCAGTATTGGAGGGCCCTGAGCCGTCCATCGAGGAATCCAGTACTACCTGGGCCAGAGGGAAGTGAGGGCTAAAAACTAGCCCGGTGCAGTAAGGGATAAAGCTCGGGTATTACCTGGATGACACAACAAGAGGCACGTGTGCCCGCAATTTGGCTTCAGCTGACGCCCACAAACATTGCCACAAGAGTGGGGCACCAGCCAGGGGTCAAACTTTGGGTCTCGCTGCTTGCCACAAAAACAGTAGTACTGGGACGGGCATTCGCTCTGGGAGTACTCATGGCGGCACTTGGGACTAGAGGAAAGTCAGAGAATCCAGTTTAGTAAGGGGTTTTTTTTGTAAGAGTTTTTTCAGCATTTGCAACATAAATAGGTTATGTAAGTGCTGAAGATTAGAAGCGTTACTACTACTACTAGAGAGTAACATACAAAGGGAAAAAGGAGGAGAGAGGATGACAATTGATGTTTTATATAGAAAAAGAGGGATAAACCACACCAGAGCGCACGTCAACCATATTGTACTGAGTTCAAATCCTGCCAAGGACCCAATTTTGCGTCCTTGGGAAAGGTACTTTACAAGATTTTCCCACCTAAAGACATTGAATGGTCCTGTCAGTTTATTAGTGTTTGAACGGGTACCACCCGCAGCTTGCACTGCATGATTTCCGGAAAGCAAAAAATGTTTCTGAGTGTTCTAGGGTCTGCTGGGGTAATTATAGTTGTAAAGCGTATAGAGCATGTTGTAGAGCATGGATATGCGCTATATAAATGCATTTATTATTATTATTATTATTACTATTATTATTATCATTATTTTTCATATTATCATTATTATTACTATTGTTATTATTATCATTATTACCCCTATTATTACTATTATTATTGCTATTATTATTTCTATTGTCATTATTATCATTATAAATATTATCATTATAATTACTATTATCATTTATAGTATAGTTATTATCATTCTTATTTTTCATATTACTATTATAATTATTATCAAGTAAAAGCACAGCAAGTTGCCCAGAGAACGGAACATGAGACAATTACTCACCAGAACCACGGAATGTGATCAGTGGGTTTATCACTGCTGAACTCCCCTGAGCTGTACTGCTTCTGGTACACGCCTTCTCTCACCCACTTCTGGATGCACGGGATGTGGAACATGCAGTAGCAGCCGACGCAACTCCAGATCTGATGAAAGTTTGTGGGTTTACAGACGATGATAGCGAATCAGTCGTTGGGAGTGACTGCTTGAGCGGAGATAACAAGCACATCAACACAATAACAATCATCTAGCGCAGGGAAAGTTTTTGTTTTCATAAGAGTTTTACGGCAATTGTAATACAAATAGGTCATATATGGGCCGAAGATTAGAGAAGTGTTACAAAGGAGTAATGAAAAATGAAAAGAAGGAAGAGAAATAAGGACGATAGATGTTTGATAGAAAAGAAGGAGCAAACCACACCAGAGCACCCGCCAACCAACCAGTCATTTAGTGTATAAGGTAAATTCAAAATAGAAGAAGAGAAACAGAAAAGGAAACAGATGCTATTCCAATTACAATTTATACATCACAACTTCTGACTAAATCACATATTTGTATATGTCGAAAACAGAAACATAGCACACACTACTAATATCACATTTATGCAATTGATTAATTTGCATTTACGTACAAAGAAGCATATTGACAAAATAATGATTACTTAAAGCAGGGAAAACATAAGACATAAACAGAAACACAAGAGGGAAAGGAAAGAGGTGGGACCTAGCAGAGGCGCTATTTAACATCCCCTGCTCATGGACTACTAGTGCTGCCAAAACAAAAACACTGAAGAAATATACAATTGCAATATGACAGTTATAACATTATTTTACCTAAAATAACATTCAAGTAGGCTACTCTATTTAATCTTTTACAACATCCGCCAACAATCCATGAATTGTGATTTGTTCCTTCTTTGTTATCAGACATCTATTGTCTTTTCTCTCCTCTTTTCTTATGAAGCACCTATCGTCCTTACCTTTCCTCCTTTCTTATCAAACATCTATCGTCCTTACCTCTTTTCCTTTTCTTTGTATGTTACTCTCAAATAATACTTCAAATCTTCTGCACGTATATGACCTGATTGTATCGCAAGTGTCCGAAAATGTTTAACTAAAACTAAACACAAGGCAAATTCTGCTGCTGCAAAGAGATGAGACAAGAGAACATTAACTCACAGGTTCATCTTTCTTGATGGTTTCAATGCACACCAGGCAAGCCGAGGTACCAGAGCGGAAAGAGTGAAGCAGCTTCTCCTGGGCCGAGTTCACATCGTCGTGGTCACCACTGTCTAGAAGAACAATGTACAGACCAGTAAATCAAAACATTTCCTAGTTAGTGGATGAAGAACACAAAATGTAAAACATGAAGTTGGGGGAAAGAGAAGCAGCATCAACATGAAAGTGTTCATTTTTTGCTGGGAAGGGGGGGGTTAGTGAGACAGATCAACAGAAAGACCTTCCCACCCCTGAGTAATACATATCAGTAACTCTACATTTTTTTAGCTTTCTGTGTAAGGTAGGATCAAACAGAGCAAAGCAACCTTCTAACAGCGATTTAAAGTGAGTAAAAGATTAACATATTGACACAATAACAGTCACTAGGTACTGAGAAGAAAACAAGGCAAGAGACATTCATGACAAATCTTTGAAGAGAAGGGAAGGATGCTCAGCCAGCAAGACACTCAAACAACCCATGTTCTGTCTTCAACAAACAGTATACTTAACCCTGGAAGCGCGCAGGTCCTACATAAAGGGCATGAGCCGGGCTACCCGGGACGCGCGCAGGCCCTACATCAGGGATGGGGACTAATCCGGAAAGATTTTACTGAAGATTCTGCATCAGCAGCAGGGGGTCAGGGGGGCAATTACAATAAGAAGTTATTTCACTCGGTAACAAACATAATTGATCAAATTAAAAAATACAGAAGCCTACATTCATCTAAATACTTACATTACAATGAATGCTTCTACAGGTCAGATAAATGTTATTGTTTGATGGACAAGCAGTAATTCTTTTCCCTGCATGTTCATGTTCTCATGTTCAAGTAGGAGGAGAAATGGTAGTACAGTCAAGCCTGTGTAAGACGGCCACCCATTGTCAAGGAAAAAAGTGGTCGTATATGACAGGTGGCCGTCTTAGGCAGGACTGATCAAGATGAAGAAAACAGACCATTCCCATCTGAAATCCCAATCGGATGTAGCCGCATTGTTTGTATTTTTTGTTGTTGTTGGTTTGTATTTTGTTTGTTATTTTTATTTCGTTGCTGATTTTGCGCAAGGGTGACAATAAAACAAAATGTATCAGATGAGGAAGATCGAGTACCGTGTTAAAACAAACACATGGGTCGCCACCACTAGGCGTAAACAGTGACCACTCATCTCACTTACGATTTGTGTATGAGTTGTGGGCGAGGCTTATGGGTTATGAGGGATCACATGCTTACCTCACCAGCAGTTGAAAATGTGCACCTATTGGTCAACAGTGGGAGGGGCCTACCCAACATGATCGGTTGGAGGGACTACCTAACAACAAAGACAGGTGATTGAATTATGATGGCTCGCCCACAACGCCAGGGGCCAGTGCACAGTTTATGACAAAACGTAATGGAGTCACTAAGGTGGCCGTCTAAGACAGGTGTTATTGCATAGTGTGATAGGGGTTGTGTGTTAAAATATGGTGGCCGCGGCCGCGTTGGACAGGTGCCCGTTTTACACAGTTAAATTATATAGAAAAAACGCAAGGGGGGAAATGGAAAGTGGCCGTTTGTACAGGTGGCGGTCTTATAGAGGTGGCCGTCAGGGCAGGTTCGACTGTATTTAACTCTTTCAAGTGCAGTGCAGCAATAGTTTGTCCACACTCACTTTCCCACAGCAAGAAATAGTTCAAATCCAAAATGCAACAGTACAATCGTCGGTCATTTTTTTAAAATTCGGAATTTTGAAAATTTTCAAAGAATCCCCATCCCTGATAGGATAGGGCTGACCTACTTCGACCGGGAAGTGCGCAGGCCCTATATAAAGGGCATAGACGTTGACATTTTTCAATGGAAAATTTCAGTATTCCTTATATGGAAAATGACGTAGTAAATTACAAGGCAAAGTTATAAATAGTGTCCAATAACTTTGCAAGTTATCTTGACCTCGTAGAGTGTCTCTTGGCCAAGATATCGATCGATAAAGTGACGTGGTCCAGCTGAGCGACTACATGTTATGTGTTATCACTTGTTCCGCTGTGCTAATGTACTAACTGTTGAGTTAATCGTGTTTTGCGCTTTGTTTGTATTTATGTGATCGCTTATCATTTTTGAATGGCTCATTTTATCAGCTTTGAGAAAAGATTTAGTTTTAAATCCCTTTTATAATCTATTGAGCCGTAAATGGTCATTTTTCAGTAGCAGGTACACATCTCGGGTATCTCAGCTGATATCCCCCCGCCATACCCCCATGTTTACAACCAATCGGCCGTGGCGGCGGGGCATTTTTGGCGGGTTACTTCCGGTGAAACGTTGAGCGCTTCAAGGGATAAGACCATCTGCTGGTGAATTTTCTAAAATCCATATCCCTTGACTAAATATAGCAACAATGATATATTTATATTAGTCAGATATCAAAAAATAAATTCAAGTAATTTTTTATTATTATAAGCCCATAGTAACGATGGTAAGCAAGCAAACGTCCACCATATGGGATAATTTCATCAAATTTCAAAAGCTCTCTTCTCTCTTATTTTTCGTCCGTTGGCTTTCATTTTTAGTAAGTACCAACTACAACACCTATGTAATGAGCAAATATCGCCAGATTTGTAATATTACAATTAGGAAAATAAGTAGGGACTCTACAAATATGTACTATGGACAAATAGTAAAATAACCTCGAAATTCCCAACAAAAACACTGATTGTAACTTTATTTTGTTATTATCTTAAAAAAAAAAAAGGTTCTATCTGAGTAACGGTCACATTGTGTAAAAGTATGAAGCCATTCAGATTAAAAATAATGGAGAAGACGTAATTTGAAGTCGGAAAAATAAATATTTGAAAAAAAAGAAGAAAATATTTTAAAAGAAGACCCAAAATAGGAAATAACTTTTTAAAACCCATTTTTTACATGACTTCTAAACATAACTGATTGAAACGGGCGCTTGAAACTTCAGGGAAATGGGAATAGGTTTCAAAAATGGAGAAAAAAAATTTCATGGTCACACTGGGTCAACATGGGGGAAATTTTACCTGCATATGGCCTTAAAAGCTAAGAAAACTCAGTGTGTACAGTAATCTCCGCCTAAACGCACGCCATACAAAAGCACGCTCCGCTCAAACGCACGCTTTCGTCATCTGACGGGTTTTTTAACTATATAATTTAGACGTACAAACACACGGTAACTCCCTCTAAACGCACGCTCCGATCTGCAAAACACACTGACAGGTAAAACTTGATTGAGGAAATTTTCACAACGACTACTGTATGATCTGCACAGCTTGCAGAAGACAGGCCTAGAAAAATCGGACATTTGGCGAGACTGCCCCTTATGCCGAACAAAGAGAGCGACAAACAGCATTTTCACACCCAACTTTCCACAGACACATAGGTCTAGGACTGGTCGGGTGATATGTTGGGAGGTTGGGGGATTGAAATATTATTTGATTGGTCACTGGAAATGCCTCTCTTTGAGAGAAGGTTTCTGACTGGTGTTTAAGTGACTGCGTGTTGGCTAATATTTAGTTAGACCTATGCCAATGATGCGCAACACGCGTGAATGCTCGTTCATGAATTTACGGTCGGGGGTGGTCGCTTGGAAAGCCACGTGGCTGGGCCGTCGTCTCTATGACTATCGCCAACAATTTCTTTTTAGGCTATTGGTTCCTCACATTTTATGGCACATTCATTACATCGAGTCTGTCTTTATGCCCCCCCACCCCACACACACACCCATTCAAAGCCTTTGCAGTCTTAACCGCAGTCTAGGAATCTTTTAAAAAAGTCACGTGTCGTCACATTATCGGCCCAAAGTGACCCCCACCCCAAAGGGAGGTCACTAGAATATAAAGACAATGAGATGACTGCGTCCCTTCCTCCCTTTGCAAAGGTTTATGTAAACGCACGCTCCGTATAAACACACGCTAAGGACCCCTCCCGAGCACCGTGCATTTAGGCGGAGACTACTGTACATGTTGAAGAAGAGTCTGGCGTTTCCTAAATCGTGAAGTGCAAGTTTCTTGTACTGGCTTTTTTATAGCTTGTTTGTGATTTTCATAAGAACTAAGAGAAAAACTCTTTCAAAGGTCAGAGAGATATAATAGCACCCATAGAACAAATGAAGCCTAATAAAGTCTTTCATTAAGAAATAGTAAAGAGAGGAACATCAAATTGTAACAATTTGACTGAAAACTTAGAGACAAAAAAACAAAAAAAGAAAGAACCACAAGTAGCGCAATTTAGAAAGATTAATTTTCTTAAAAGAAAAAGTTGAGCTTTATGCTTTACTCCCATTTTAAAAAATCATACCATTTGCATATGAACTGGCATACGACTTGAAAACACCATTCAGCACAAGACTCCCAATATCTTCCTCTTCATCTTCAGAATCATCAAGGTCCTCGGCCGTCCCCTGAAGATATCGCTGGGCAGACTCCATATGCTCTGTCCGCGCTTTGGCAAACATGTCCTCCACCGACCTCAGTGCTATGCAAGACAAATGCACAAAAAGCAGAAAATATTACTATTATTATTATTATTATTATCATACTCCAGTTCTATATATCTGAAACATACATTGGCGATCATGGTTCACTTTTCCTTTCTCTTTGTCACTGTTCTAAAAATTAAAAAAACAGATATCCTCCTGATCTTTTCCCATTAGCCATTTGTTCAAGTTCTTTAAGTAAATTATTTTTGGTCCACCTCTGCCTCCTTACCCTAAAATCTAAAATAAAATATTAAACATATAGTAAAGTTGAGTCAACCTGAACTATCTATTTTCACTGAGAATATATTTATACAACAAAAAAGAAATAGATAATGACATATGTTTCTAACTTTGAACATAGAACACATTCAAACAAAATATTTTGAATAGTCGAGTGATAACGTTAAGTTTGATACGAAGCACCGAAAATACTTATTGTAATATTTCACAACTCCTACAGACCGTAAATTGCTTTTCTCAGGGTGTTCCTATACAATGACTCAATGAAATTCATAGTTGTCTCAAGAGAACATTGAATCCCAATAGTTTAGAAAACAAGTCCATGCATAGGGTGGCCTTTACACCAAAACTGCTAAGTCCTTGTCCAGTCATTGAATTGTATTTGAGAAAAGAGAAGCGCATTAACACAATAACAGTCACCTAGTGCGGAGGAGACAGACAGACAGACAGACAGACAGACAGACAGACAGACAGACAGACAGACAGACAGACAGACAGACAGACGAAAAGAAGGAAAGGAAAAAAGTAAGACATACCAGTAACACCCTCAAATCACCCACATGGCTGAGACAACCATGTTAAAGCTGACTTAACTTCACCACACTATCTCATCAACTTTACTTGAAACACTGCCCTATTCAAGTTAAATTCAGATTGATTTTCATCATAAACTTGAGCATTTGGATGCAAGAAAGAAAACTGGTTAAACTGCACACATCTAGATTAAAAGGCAATAAAATTACCAAGCACCAGCAACATGAAAACAAACCAACCAAAAAACAACAACCCAACAACACAATAAAAACACAAAACTAGGTGGTACCAAACTCAAGACACTTCAACAGTGAAAATGTTTCACTATACAACTACAACAACACTTAATATGAAAATACATGATCTGAAAACACATGCAAACAAAAATAGTTACCTATATCAAAGTCATTTATTTTCAATTCACATATTATAGATTTAAAAACCACCATAGTCTACAGTACAGGAATTCTCCAGCCTAAACAACAAACACAAGAAACAATCAAGTTGTTGTCACTGTGGTTAATGAAGCAGCCCATAAGCACAAACCCAACAGCTTGCCTGATACAATGCTACAAAACGAAGTAGTAAAATATTAATTTAACATCCTTTATGACGTTTAACACAACCCAACCCCACAAACGTAAGCTATCATGAAAGCAAAACACGTTATGGCCCTCCACGTAGAAGTAGCAACTACTGTGGGGTTTTTTAGTAAAGAGATGCATTATATCTATACAACAAGGACTATTTTCTATTTAGAACTAGGGAGAAAAACAAAATATACAGACAGAAACAACAGAGGGAGAAAAAGGAACGGCCTACCGGTGGTGCACTCCAACCACTAACTGTACACATACAGCTGAACCTTCTAGAAATTCATCTCAACACAAAGGCCTGTTTAATTTATTTGATCAGATGTATTTAATTTAGATTTAGTAAGAGTTTTACGGCACTTGCAACACACACAATAAAGTCCCATAAGTGCCAAAGAATAGATGTGTTACAAGAGAGTAACATACCCAAAAAAGGAGGAGAGATAAGGACGATAGATGTTTGATAGGAAAGAAAGAGCAAACCACACCAGAGCACCCGCCAACCACCCACGATCAGATGTATAAAGTCACCAGCGGATAGTATAATCTATTTAAGGCCATTAAAGAGAAATATCCCAACCAATAGATATGCTTGACACCAAGTACACACTTTGTGTAAATCAAATCAATACGAGTTTTTAGTTTTAAAAAGTAAAGCTGGATCCTGCTCGTCAAATCTGAGAGTGACGATTCGCGATTCAGTCGGCTTTAATGAATCGCGAGTACGCAAGCACTCGTGGAACACTACGTCTCGGGCTCGTATGCGTGAAACAGAACAGTTTCATATCAACGCCACTTCGCGAGTCCCACTCTTATTGTCCCATCATCAACTCCGCCCCCCGCCTTTCGCTCCGCTGCTCTACTGACCTCAATTAGCGACCCCTATAAATTCACACCCCCCCCCCCTTTCCCCATGATTCGCTGAAACAATGGCTCCATAAAATTCCTTCTGTCTATTGGTTGGAACCCGTTCATTTTGTTTTAATAGGGGGGTTGGACTATGCCATCTTTTGTAAAATAAGGGGAGCCATACTAAGTGTTCCGTTCCGTTCTTGCACTCGTGACTCGACTCGCGACCCAGCAGTAGGTTACAAACAAGCCACAAGGTGGTGACAGCAACAGGGGAGTCAATCGGGAATCGGAAGGTGATACTGTTCCGCTTTCCGCTGAAGTGAATCGCGAATCGCGTTCCGCAGGCAAGAGTGGCGATTCAGTTCCGTTCTCGCGCTCGCGACCCAGCTCTATTAAAAAATACAACAACACCATAAAGAGTCATTATATTGAAAAGGAAAATAGAAAGACAGACAAATTTTTGTTTTTAATTTTCATAGAAGTTTTACGTCACTTGCCACACAATTAGGTCATATAAATGCCGAAGAGAAGAGGTGCTTTGTTTGTTTGTTTAGTATAGGGTTTTACGGCGCTCGCAACTGCATAAGGTCATATGAGCACGCGGGACACACCTAATACTTTTTCGTTGGTAGGAAATTTTGAATTTTGCCCGGGTGGCGGCCGAAGCCTACTCTTATCGATTTTAGACCACCAAGGGATCTTTAACGTGCGCAACTTGCACACGGGCCCTCCGAGATTTTTCGCCCTTGTTCGAGAAAGCTAGGTGTAGATCTTTCCTACCAGAAGATCAGGGGTGTGGCAGAAAGACAGCAGTTAGGAGGAGCCAAGGAGTAGCAGCAGAAAGGCTGCAGAAAGAGTCAGGAGCCCAGAGGAGGGGGCAAAGGAGGTGAGGGGGTGGGGGCAGAAAGTGGAAATGAAAGCAGACAACAGAACATTGTTAGAGATCAGGAAAGGATGTGAAAGGAGACAATTTTAGAGAAGAAAATTTTTTGGTCGCTACCCGGAATCGAACCCGGGACCTTTGAATGAGAGGCCAACACCTTAACCTCTAGGCCACGAGAGCCCCGAAGAGGTGCTACCAGAGACTAACATACAAAGAAAAGAAAGGGGAGACATTTAAGAACAACAGAGACTTTTTTTAATCTTTGGAAAGAAGGAGCAAACCACACCAGATCACCCACCAACCATCAACTTCCTCAGACAGAAACAACAGAAGGATAGAACAGAGTCGGATCTACAAGGAGCACCTTCTATACTTCTAACCATTTGCTGTAAGGTCAGTAAAGTAATGGTCAAGAACAAATGAGTCACGACATGGTGGAGTCAGGAGCTCGTCCTTTCTTGGGAATATGGGGTTATTGCTATTACCTTAAAGCCTGTTCATTGGCCTTCCTTTTGGTGACAAAAATATTTATCTATGTTGAATAGAAGTCGAAATATTTGCAATTAAAGGAAGTTGGGTCGCCTCGTCTCAGAAGCGAAATTAGCGAGAAAATGGCCGCCAAAGTTTGGTAACTGCCATAGCCTGAGAGTCCTTGGAAACTGAAAATTAACATTTTTTGAGCCTTTAATCAATATTTTTTAGAAAACCCACACAAAAATGTGTTTTTAAATGGATTTAAAAAGTGTTGAGCCAAAAAAGAAATGTTTTTTAAAAATTGACCATCTGCCCAAAAAATGTCGATTTCTTTGATTTCATTATTTTGACGAGTGCCTGATTTCAAAACGAGCCTCATAAATGTCTTCAACCAGACAGTGACTGCAGTTCCTCACCATTACCATTTCCCTGTAGTTTTCATCTAATTATTTGTTATCTCACATTCACTTTTGTTAGGGCTGTACCCCGGTAGCAAACACGCTCGGGCTCGCAAGCCCCTAGTTCAAGTCACAAGCCTCAAATCACTTGGTCAAATCATCAAATTAAATCACCAGCATGATACGTTGAGCCTGGCCTAAGCTTCAAGTACCCACACCAACTTGCAATCCCCGAAGCCACTCGTGTCTGACCCACTCTTCCTTCCCCTTCCTGTTTGCAATCCGCGAAACCACTTACGTCAGAAAGAGAGAGAGGGGGAGAGAGACCCCGCTAACAGTGTCACTGCTCCACAAACTAGTCTGTTCCATTAATCGAAGGCTTATGAGCAGCGGACGGCAGGCAAGACTCAAATCCCGATCGCAGCGCTAAGCAAAGCACTTGGTCCCAAGAGCCAAGACCTGCTTTGCGTCTCATATTGCTTTGTGCTAAGGGCTTGCTCTCGTGCCAATAAATCTGCTTTGAGTCCAACTACCGCCCTGGCAGGGCAAAACCGCTCGTCAGTACAACATCGCTCGTCTGCACCGAGCCGCAAGATCTACCGGTAATCCACCCCGCTCGCGGCGTGAACTCTGAACTCTGGACGTGGAGGAAGCGAGACGCTGCGCTGGTTTTGGTGCACGACGAAGAGGGCTGTAATAGCTTAGTGCAGACCGTTGGCGACCTCAGTGCTTTAACAGTGAAAATGTGACATCTTCGTAGGCTCACATTTTGTTATGAGCTGTTTTCACTGGTATTAAAAATGGAGCTACGACAAGAAAGCACTGAGGTCGAGGTATGCTAAACTATTTACGACACAGAAAAAAGGTCTGAACACTTACAAACAATTTTTAACTGACAAAGTAAATCAGTGGCTTGTAATTTAATCACTCGCCTAAACTACACTTCCACTCCCACCCCGACACTTAGAACAAGTTGAAGTTGAAGAGAAAGCATTGGGGAGGGGATGACAATCGTGATTTTGTTTCTGAACAATGTAAACAACTTTTGATTTGTCTGCTTCTCTATCAGAATATCATTGTTAAGATAAATTATATCACATTGTTAATTACATTGTAGGCCTATAACTTTTAAAAAACATCTTGCTGCACTGTAACTGATATTATGTATATATTGTGCATGTTCTATCATACAAATATTATTTATGATGTCGAATTACGCCAAGAAAATCAATAAAGCAAAACGTAATCCTTTCCCCCCTCCAAAAAAAAATCAACAAAAATCAACAAAAATCTAAACCAAAAAAACCCCAACAAACAAGACAAAGAAAACCCTGTCACGACAGGAGGCGTAAGGGGAGGGGCGGGTTCTACGGAAAACGAGGGGTGGCGAACACCTCTCGCTTTCCCAGCCATACCACCCCCTCCCCTCCCCTCCCCAAACAGCACCATCGCTGGAAGTGTGAGGACTATTTAGGGCTTGTCAGTGTGCGGCCACGTGGGCAGAAGTATCGCGCGCTCAGTAAACAAGAGTTTGTGACGTCATGACACAAATCAGTAAGTCCGTCCGCCGTCCACAAGTAGCAACTCCGGTAGCCGGCAAAGCTCAAGCCTGCTCGCAAGCCTCTGGCACAAACCGTCCGTTGCTCGCAAGCCTTCAATTAATCGAGCAGACTCCAGCCCTAGCTTTTGTACTGAAATCATAGCTAAAGATACTGCATATATATATTCCTTTGTTATTACATTACACTGCAAAATTTAATTCGTATCTTTTTAGATTTCTTTTCATAAGTCTAAAGATAGATTTTTAGCCTAAACATTTCACATACATATATCTGAATATCATGCGTTGTAAGAAAGTAAGGAAACAAGTACACACAACAATAAGAACTGTCTTTCACGAAAAGGCTAAATTATTAGTAACGCAATAATAAACTAAGCTAATTTAATAGGAAAAAAGGTGAGTATACAAACCAAGCAAGTGCATTACATTGATCAATCTTACAGGCTTCTAGACTCTGCTTCTCCAGTCCAGGACTCTTGTACCCAGGTGATCTGGGACTAGCACTAGACTTCTGGCTCGCAGCGCTAGCATACCCTGGTCTCTGTGGCGGGAAACCATTGCCATTGACAGCCCGAGGTCCGAAGGGGGACGTCGCCGCTGCCTGATTTGCAGGGGCTGGATTCCTAGAACCTCGGCCCCTGCCTCTACCTCGGAGAAAAGCTGGTTGGGAACTCATGCTCACGGAGAATAGATCTGTTTCATTATGTAGGAGTAGAAATAGAATGCATTCAACAATGAGCAATTATAAAACTTAATACCATACCAGGTGCCCATTGCAAATGGGATCGGGTCGGGTTGATCGCTCGACTCGTCGTCGGATAACAAACGCGCTTGTATTTGAGGCAATGAGTTGAGCAATCAGTTTGTGCCACAATAGCCACTTTGCACCCTCAATCCGGCTAGCAAACCGACCCGAGTGTGCCTATGGGCACCCGGTATAATAGAATAGCATGTAATCTTACATAACTTTACCCCTATGCTTATCCTAACCTTGTCTTATTACCCCAATCCAGCAAATGATGATAAAAATAAAATGTGCAAATCTAAAAGATTGCACCTCACCTCTAGCCTCTAGTAGTCTGGGTCTTTTGTTTTTCTTTGTCATAAGTGTTTCATGGCACTTGCAACTGCATGAGGTCATATGAGCACACAAGACACGCCAAACATTTTCAATTTGGTACAAAATTTTTAATTTTGCCAGGGTGAGGGTCGGAACCTACTCTTACCGATTTTTTACCAACAAGAGATCTTTAACGTGCGCAACTTGCACACGGGACCTCCGAGATTTTTCACCCTTGTACAAGAAGGCTAGGTGTAGATCTTACATGTCTACCATAAGATCAGGGGGGTGGCTGTCAGTGAAAGACAGCAGTAAGAAGGAGCCAAGGACAAAGAGTAGAAAGGCTGCATAAAGAGTCAGGGGCCCACAGGAGTGGGCAAAGGAGGTGAGGGGGTTGGGGGAGAAAGTGGAGATGGAAGCAGACAACAGAATATTGTATCATTGTTAGAGAGCAGGAAAGGATGCGAAAGTAGAAAATTTTAGAGAATCTAGATATCTAGTTCTAGATGATCTACGCTATTCTTTTCATTGTAGGTAGCAGGGAATAAAAAAGGGGTTGAGATTTAGAGGATTTTTTCAAATTTAATACAGGTTCAACGTTTCGCCCTGTAGGGCTTCGTCAGGAACACGATACAAAAAACGAAGTGTATACGACCCGGTAACCGGGAACAAAGTCACGAAGTATACAGACCCGGTAGGGGAACTCTTTTGTGATTTCGGAAAGTTTCAGCGCCCAGACCCGGTACAGTGGAACTCGGATTCAACGAGCTCGGATTCAACGAGAACTCGGATTCAACGAGATGAGATAAGACTCCCCATTTTTTTTCTTCTTTAACATCAATAAAAATAAACCCGGATTCAACGAGCACTTAAATCAGCAAGCTCGGGTTCAACGAGGTCGCTTCCAGGGTGAACAGCCCCGCAGACGTGGCTTCGCTCATTTTTCTCCCCGAACGAACTTTATCTATTCCCGGAAACCATCCATTGCACCTGCATGTGAACCATTATTCAATCAGTCGATTACATGCGACCAATCAGCGGCCCTTTTCCATACCAACACATGCGTTGTTGGCACACGCACGTGTCTACCCTGGCGTGTGTCGGGGTCGGATGGGCGGCCTGCACACGCGTGGCTGTGTGTGCGTGTCGTGGAAAGGGGGGGGGGGTGGGCACTAGCGGTCCGGGCGTTGAACGTCGCAGATACAAACGCGTCACAGGCTTTTTCTTCCCTCGGCAAATGATCATTATTACAATGGTAAGCTAGTCTTGACGTAGATCTACGTAATGAATAATGCGCTTGTCTATGGAATCAAAAGTTGCCGTATGCTTGGCTCTACACAGCAACACAACTTTTTGGTAAACAATCGATAAGTCACAGGCGTGTGCATTTGACCGAATCTGTCTTTTTTTTTTCACAGCTAATAATATGCAGACATTTCAGGCACTGCTTGTGACTTCTCTTTATACATTACTTGCTCAGTGCCTGTAATTACTTACACAAAACCTCATGTTTGCTATAACGAACACTCGGATTCAACAAGATTTTAGGTCAGGCCCAGCGACCTCGTTGAATCCGAGTTCCACTGTAGTGTATGTGTGTGTGTGTGTGTGTGTGTATGAGAGAGAGAGAGAGAGAGAGAGAGAGAGAGAGAGAGAGAGAGAGAGAGAGAAAGAGACCAAGGGGAAGTGCTAGTAAAATGTACATTATAACTTTCTTTTTTTTTTTTTTGTTGCCCCCCCCCACAAGTGACAGCACAGTGACAAATATTGATTTATTTCATGGCGACACCACGTTTGTAATGCCGAACCTGCATGTTACAATAAATGTTGGGTTATCAGACAATTACTGACAAATTTCTGGGTGGTAACGAAAGCAGATCTTGATTTTTCCAGTCAGTCGAGCCTTGGTGACACAATTCCGCTTGCCGCCAAAGCCGCCAGTTCGCGTGAAACGTACTCTCAGAGCCGAAATAATATCACAATCGTGACCGGCAAACATGAACTTAAAGACGTTATTGGATTTGGTTTTCAAATATTCGAGATCTTTTAATGTGTATTTTCCCGGGTCTCGGCGATTTTTTTTTCCAAAATCCTGAGGCCTGGAACTGGAAGTCACCCTGCTCCCAGCAACTCTCTTTGTGATTGGCCCGCTGTCGCGGTAGCGGAGTTTAGGGGAGGAAATGGCGGTAGCGGAAATCCGCTAAATAGCGGAATATTGAGACCCATGCTAGAGATAGATCTAGGCTAGCCTCAAAACTAGATCTATCTAGATCTAGATCTAGATCTAGATTGAATGATTTATGGCTGTCTGTCTAGATCTAGACCTAGGTCATAGATCTAGAAGAACCTAGATCTTGGTCTACCCTGAGCCAAAAAGAACTTTCCGAAATCACAAAAGAGTTCCCATACCGGGTCTGTATACTTTGTGACTTTGTTCCCGGTTACCGGGTCTGTACAGGCTACACTCCCTACAAAAAAATATTCTTTTCATAATGAACTAGAAATCTAGATCTAGGGATGCCATAAGCTCATCTATTCGGGCTCGGGTGCACACCGATGTCCCGCCTAAATCTAGATCTTGCCCAACTAGAAGTAAAAATAACAGTACTAAAACACGTCAACAACACGTCATTCGTCAGCATACGGCACGGCGTACACTCCCAGCCTAGCCCGGCCTTGATATTTAATTGTTGGGTCAAAAAAAGAAGCCAAATGCGTACAAAGCTGCACCATCAGTGCAAATTAAGCATTCACGTCATACACACTAATTCTCTGTGGGTAAATGTCTTGTTGTGAGCCAAAAGCAAGAACTAATTTGTTTTTATATTGAGAAAATCACCTTGCTTTTTAATTAGTCTTCTCAGCTGAGCTTGGATTTCGTGTTTCGTTTCGACACTTCCGACCCAATATCCGGTTGAATCAGCTCTTTGTACGTAATCGTAAATTTGATCCATAGCCTACTCTTGGATGTCCGTAAATTTCTAAGGATTAAATTTTGTGGGTGGTTGGAGGGCGCAAGTAATAGGTCCTACTTCTATATTTCCCCCTGTAGTTTTTATTAGTGTATCTTGCTTTTTTCTGGAATTAATTACTGTTGTCATATCTAAGTGCTTCATTTTTCTAAAAGAAAAGAAAATTTAATTTTAAAAAAGAAAAAGAAACGATCTAAAGAGGGGGGGTAGGACCGATGTTGTAGCATTACTTTTTAATGTTTATTTGAGAATAACTTTTTGCAATGAAAGGTGTGATCAACAAAATGAATATTTGTGACAAAACTGCCAACTGTTATGGAAATTTTTAGAATAATAATTTTAAGTGATCTACAGGTGGTTTTGTAAACAAACTTCATGTACGGAATCATAATTTATGGACATGAGGAATAATTAAAATTGATAGGCCTATAACTTATACTTGATTTTTGTATTCATGGTTGCTGTTGTTTTGTTGTTGTTGTTTTGGGGTTGTTGTTTTGTTGTTGCTGTTGTTGTTGTTTTGCTTGTTGTTGTTTTGTTGCATACCAGTCATTTCGTGACACAGTCATTTAGAGGGGGTGGGGTGAGAAAGAAAGTGGAGACGAAAGCAGACGACAGAATTGCTAGAGAGCAGGAAAAGGAAATAATTTTAGAGAAGAAAATGTTTCCTTCGCTACTTGGATTCGAACCCCGGACCTTTGAATGAGAGGCGAACACTTTTACCTCTAGGCCACAAGAGCCCCCACCAAGGGATCTTGAACGTGCACAACTTGCACGCGGGACCTCAGAGGTTTTTCGCCCTTGTCTGAGAAAGCCAGGTATAGATCTTCCCTACCAGAAGATCAGGGTTGTTTCTGAAAGATAGCGGTAAAAAGGGGACAATGAGTTGAGCAGTAGAAAAGCTGCAGAGAGAGTCAGGGGCGAAGAGGAGGGGGCAAAGGAGGTGAGGGGGTGGGGGCAGAAAGTGGAGACGTGAGCAGACGACAGAACATTGTTAGAGAGCAAGAAAGGGTGTGAAGGGAGAAATATTAAGGAAAGAAAATTTTTACGTCTCTACCCGGATTCGAACCCGGGACCTTTGAATGAGAGGCGAACACATTGACCTCTCCTCCAGGCCACGAGAGCCCCCTGCCCGAACAGTGTAACTGGTAGGAACAAAATATCAACTCGGTTTTTTTTTCTAAAAACGTTACCGCTTGGTCCACCGTCCACGTGCCTTTGACACGCGACACAAATCGCTCCTTAGGACAGGGATCCATAGACAACGACAGATATTGTCAGTACAATGTATGAGAGTGTTTTAGCGCCTGTAAAAGGCAGCTTGCACTGCGGTATACATGTGTACAGAAATTGTGTATAGTAGAGAATTGTTTCTGTATGTTATGCTTTCCAGGAAGTTGAGTATATAGATCTAGTAATAGTATAGATTGTAAAGTGCATAGAGAGCGTGCTATTGAGTGAGAATTTGCGCTATATTAATGCTATCTAATAATATTAATATAATTGTCATTATTATTATTAATATTATTATTATTATTATTATTATTATTATTATTATTATTATTATAGTGTTACGAAAGTAGTTTGTCTGTTTAGTTATGAATTAAATGACAATTTTCCTCACAGTGATCAAGCCATTTCGGCGGCTATTATTTTCTCCCGTCTGACAGATGTCAGAAAAAAATAAATAAAAAGAAACTCAAATGTGTTTTACATTAGAATGGAAGGAAATCTCTACAGTTATACTGGAAAAGTAATCAGAGCATGAACCAGTGGCTAGTGTGCGTCTAAAGTTTCTGGAGCGATAGAGATTTCAGGGATGCCAAATGATTTTTAAAAAACACCCGAAAATGAGCGAAGCATCACATCTCAGTTAAAACGAACCTTGTAAACTTTTTAAATGAGCAAACAAAAACATCTCTCTTACCTCTCCCCTTTCCTTTGCAAATGTACGGGACTTTTGTTGCATCAATTCCAATAATATTATTTCTGTCTTGAGAGGAAGGACCTTGCCAGTGGCCTTCTTCTTGGAGACAGGAAAAATTCCAATGGATGACAACCCCCCCCCCCCCAAAAAAAAAGCGAAAAAAGCCGAATGACCAGTGATTTGATATCCATGAGATTTGAATATTTGTCAAGCTTTAATATGCGGCTCATGGCAAGGGGGGTGGGTTAACCTTGAAATTGATTTCAAGCAGGGAACTTTTTATTATCCTTTTTTTGTTGTTGCCTGTAAGCTTTTAAAATTTAAGACAAGAAAAGCACATCAACATAACAATGCAGGGAAGGAGTAAGACAGATAGATCTAGATAAGAAACCGAGGGAAAGAAAAGAAGTAGGGACCCCCCGGGGCAGTGCCACTGACTGCAGTGTCTTTAGGCCATTCCCAAAGGGAACACATTTCTCGTTCAAGCACAGTAGAATTGTAAATGGGCTGATCCGAATGGAAAATTCGTGTTAAGTGCCTTTCCCAAGGACACAACGTCGGACCGAGCTGAGGCTCGAAACTCCCAAACTCTCACAACAGGTCCAGTCCGCTTAAACTGAAAACAGTCTACACCCCCCCCCAAAAAAAAAAAAAAAAAAAATTAAATTAAAAATAAATAAATAAATAAATAAATAATTTTAAAAAAAATAAATAAATAAAATAAAATAAAATAAACCAGGGCTGTGCTACTGACTGAAGTTGTCTTTGGCCATTCCCAAAGGGGGGATATTTGCATTTTCTTATGCACAGTAGAACTGTAAATTAAATGGGTTGATTTATCTATGTCAATTGTCATGCTCATACTGTGCCGGAACAACTTAGGGGTAACTGCTGCTTTTTCTTCCCTCATCCTTATTTCGTAATTTTCTTCTACTTCTTTTGCACTCTCTTGTATGTTTGTCACTCTCTTGTGAACTGCTATTTCCGGGGTGCCTTGGTAGTCGAAGCAGACTGTGCTGTTGAGGCAAGGGAGGTGAGCAGAGTAAGCTTGATTCCCCGTTTGGACATCACTGTTGACATCCACCCCTTGGCGCTCATATGGCCTTATGCAGTTGCGAGCGCCGTAAAACCTTACTAAAAATCAAACTAAACCAGTCTAACTAAAAACAGTGGTACATCGAAAGAATAAAAAATTCCTCAGTTTTTGTTTCTTCTATTTGGGCAATCTCTCTAAACCGAACCCCCGCCCGCAGTCCCGCAGATTTCGGTTCCAGTGGACTCCACAGTATATGACACAGTTGAGATAATTAAGGAGTGGGCTGTGCAGGGTCAATCCAGGCTGCATAAGATACAACATCCCAGCAGAAATATTATCATCATCCGGTGCCTTGCCGACTGGGGAGGGCGATCATTGACCTCCACTTCACTTTGTCTTGCGTTGCAGCGAAGGTGTCACGTTGCTATTCCCAGCCATGTCGTCAACCTGTCCAGTATCTTTTCCCAGTCTGCTTCTCTTTCCATCAAACTTGCCTGTTGTGACAAAATTCTCTAAAGCTTCTTTCCGCATCGTGTGTCCAATGAGATTTGCCTGTCAGTTTCATATCTTAGTAATAAGCTGTCGTTTACAAGTTGCTTTAACCAAAATTTCTTCATTTGTTCTTCTAGCTGTCCATGGGATACGCAGCATGCGTCTTATGTACCACAACTCTGTCGTCTCAGTTGTTCTTTCCAGCTGTCTATTGGTTGTCCATGCTTCGCACCTGTATCATTGGATTGGCTCGATGCAACTTTTCAGTACTTTTTCTTGTTCCCGATGACAGATTGATGTTTGTATCGGTTTCATTTTGTGGAAGGTTGATCTTACTTGGCGAATGCAGCTTTTAATTTTGGTGTGGCATCTCCCATCTGATGATATTATGGTCCCCAGATATTAAAAAATGTTGTTCTTGCTTGAGAGTGGTACCATAGCAGAACTATAGAGATAATCTAAATAAAAAAACAATCCCGCTCAGGAATTTAACTCACGTCATGTGCATGATAGAGCTCAACTGCCACACCACAGACACCTGCTCAACATAACATATGATTTAATATGACCTCATATCCAGTATTATTACATGTACATACATTTAAAAAAGCACACAGAAATAAAGAAAAAGACAACTCGAAGGGTATGTTTATGAGCTATGCATTTTTAATGCCCAATTTCAGTTCAAATGGTCACACCTAAACTAAAAGGTAGCAACGTGTGGGTGACCATGAAGAGGCAACACCGATCCAATCATCTTGCTCGTGTTCATTATGGCTGTATCAACACAAAAATGTAAAGCTTTATGAGGTTAAAACAGAAAATACTTAATCAATAACCACCATTCCACGTCTAAACCATCAAACAGTAGCCTCTGAAAATGTCAGCTTAGGAATCTCAGTTTAGATATATAACGATGGTATCAAGTACAAGTACCGTAACTTAAAAATGATCAGCAAACCCAGAGAAACTAATTTTAAAAAAAAATAATGTTTTAATCACACTGCAATGATGTTGCAAAATGCACGCAATCATTTCCCGGTGTTCTGACAGGAACAGTTGAGTTCAGATATAGTTTACCATGAGTCAGCAAAATTGCTATATTTCCCCATGGAAAAGAAAAGCAAAATAAAAGTAACATGGAGAGGTAGAAAGAACAGTCCACATTAGAACGCTCACCAAAAACTCGAAAGATTAGTAGAGCCATCATCTATCTTGGACAAAAGTAAAAAAGAAAGAAAAAAAAAGACAACCCCCCACCCAAAAAAAAAATTTAAAAATTCAAAAGCAAACACACGGCATCTCAGCCATAAGAAATTAACAGTGTTTACCAGGACAATAAAAGAAGAAAAAAAAAGATTTCTACACACAGAAAAGCAGATCAGAGGCAGCCAGTCCTGTAACAAAATCAAGTACACGTAGCTCCAAAACTGAAGGAGAAGTGAACCAAACCAAATAGCCAAACGGTAGTTAGTCACAAAACAACATAACACGCTGAAAGCTTTTTGTTTTGTCTTGACAATGGACGACAAATTTGATGTGAAGCAACATCGTAAAATGAGTCATAAATCATGCTCAGTTGTTGGAACATGTCCATCAAAACTTTGATTTTCCTTAAAACTGTGCTGACTGTAACTTTAGAACCAAAAGAGCTGGACTTCATTTAGTTTAAGGTTTAATACGAGTTTTACGGCATTTGCAAAACCATTAGGTCATATTATAAGAGCAGAAGAGGTGTTACAAGAGAGTAACATACACACACAAAAAAAAGGAGGTGAGATGAGGACTACAGATGTGTGAGAGGAAACAAGAAGCAAACCATACCACAGCGACCACCAACTACCCAACGAGCTGGACTAATACTGTCTTCTCACCCACTTGTAGGGCATGATGAACAGATTTATTTTGATACCAGTAGAGTTATATGTCAAAATGCCACATGTGGCTCGTTTTGTCCCGTTGCTACACATACATACATATGTTTACATTCTTTTGTTATCAAAAGTAACGGGACACGTAGATCCTAAACAATGAGGCATACTGGTGTACATCAACAATTTCAGGCTTGAACTTGTGCTTTCGCTTCAAGCCAGAGTGGAATCAATACCCAGTATTCTCATTCAAAAACTTTCCTTACCGTAAATAATAAAGCACATCAGCTCAAACTGTCAAAGCCGGGGGGGAGGGGGGAATAGAAAAAAAGAAGCAAAAAACCCAAAAATAACGAAGTGGTGTAGTAAACTACCCTACAAAACAAGAAATGGATGGCTCAAGAACATTTTAAAATCTCAATTCCAAAGCTGACAAACAAATGCTACACGATATATCTCAATAATCTCACTTCACCTGAGTAGATATAACTATGATGAGGTGTCTTAAAAACATAAAAGAACTTGGTCCGCCCTTTCGAGGATGAAAAAAGAAAAGAAAATTGATTAGTAAATGAGTCACAATACTAATAATAATAGAACATGATACAAGAGTCTACAAACAAAACCCAATACTGAGTCCCAAATTCAACATGTATAGAATACTTGTGCCTGCTCATGGATAAATAATCATAATTGTAAACATTTCTGAAACTCTGTCTCGTCACAAGGCCCAAATTGAGTCTCACCTCTTAACTGTTCTAATGTGTCAAAAGGGACATAAAAACTCTTTTCATGAAAAATATTCTTTAATAGCCAAGAGTAATTCTCCACAGCATTGTCATTTCCGTTCCTCTCCAAGTCCAACAATAACTTTACAACAGTTGTGAAACTGTCAAGCTTCAGTATACTACACACATCTAACCAGAGCATCCATAATAATAATACATTCATGTCTGGTACCGTCATGTAAGATTAAGCCAGAACTATACACATCTTCAGATTCTAATTCTTTTCATATGTAACACAGTGTTTATTTTATTTATTTTCTTAAAAATCCCCCCCCCCCCCCCCCCCAAACAAACAAACAAAAATTGTGTCATTCAACCACCCCCCCTCCCCTCAGGTGGAGTTATTAACTCTTTGCCTACTCTGTGACTGATATATTTGTAACTGGCACAAATGGAATCAGTGCAGACATAACAGACTTACTTTGCGTGGCCTTTATTTTGTTTTGCTTCTTTTCAGTCCTTTGAATCCCTTGATTTTATTTCAATATTATTTAATTTCCCAAACTTACAGCATTTGGTACAACAAAACCACAATGACAAAAAATGTTAGCATGAGTGGGATGCTTTGATAACCTCTCTGCATGTCAATGTCCATCAGGGCTGGGTCATTGGCCTTACAAACCCGTAATGTGCCACTTATAAATTGCAATAATCTTTTTCCTGAACATGGATTGACATTGACAATTCTAGCCACTGCAATGTAAACATACATAATCACCCAAACCCCTGTGAAAAAATAACACAGGGGCAGGAGCTATTTTTAAGCGTGTAGGAAATTATCTTATTTTCCTGACCATAAATTATTTTACCGGGTATATTTCGGTTGCCACTATGAATGATTTTCCTGCACCGGGTAACAATTCAATCCACCACACATAGGGAAAAAACCAAACTCAGTAGGCAAAGAGTTAAGAAAAAAAGGGCAAACAGCACAAAGTACTCCACTGGAAACTTTTTCTCCTGATACTTAGCAGTACGCTTCAGTTGTCATTCAAAAAGCTTATTTGTTGGTGTCAAGCACAAACCAGCTCTGATCGATGCAAGCTATTTTTTCGGGAAGAGCAAAAATTTTGATTAATGAAGTTTTTTTTTTACAATTTCAGTAAACAAGTTTCATATTCACCATTTGAATGATACAAAAAAGGGTTTTCTTTACCAGACATTTTCACACCTTAAGGAAGATCCAATTTAAAAAAAAAAAAATCTCAGACTTGGCTAGTTTGTGCCTCACACCATGGGAATTTTTTAAAAAAATGTTCTAAAGAAGGCAACAGGTGACATCAAAACAATGTTTGAGCTTATAAATCAAGACGGCAAAAAGTTTGTTGCTGGCGTGTTATCTCCCCCCCCCCCCCCGACCCAACCCTAAAAAAAAATAAACTGCAATGCTGTACACAATACTAGATTGTGTGTATGTACACACACAGAAACAGTGTGTACATACACTCAGAAGTAGCATGAATGTACACAAAGTGACTGTGTGCCCATACACACACGGAGACCATGTGTATGTACACAGAGACGGAGCCAATGTACAGGGACAGGGTATAAACAGAGTTACAGGACTGTACAATATCATTACAAAATGGGACACAGAATGACAATATGCATTGACCTTCATTATGGCTCGACCCAATAAAAGGAAATAAGTTGGGATCTGTAACCTCTTAAAACTAAAAACACACTCGCACACACACACACACACACACCACACAAGAATTAAACACATGCACACACACACCACACAAGAACTAAACACACCACACAAAAACTAAACACACGCACACAAAAACTAAACACACACACACACACACAAAACTAAACAACCACGCCACACTGAATCAGATGCTCCTCGCACTGATGTTATAATAAAGAGATTAAAAAAACAAACAGCAAAAAAACTCAAATCAAAAACAGAACATCACACTTCCAAAGAAGCCAGCATTCCACCTCAAACAAGTTAACCTAAAGCATGCCATTTGAACCAGTCAAAACATTACATAAGTCAAAGATACAACATGAGCCACAATCAGCCATAATAAAAACCGAGTGCTTCTGGAAACGACGCAAGGTTACTCACAAATTAATACACCACACAACTATTTACGCCTCTTTTTTTCTTCTGAATTTGTTAGGCCTACCGATAGTACAACGCTGTATAACGTTTATAACCATCAGGGGGGGGGGGGGTCTGTTAAGTCTCAGTAAATGACAATTTCAGGATTGATGCATACAGCACAAGCAATAATTATATCTTAGAAACTGTAGAAACATGACAAGTAATGGGAGATTATGTCAATCAAGAAACTGGTACTCAACAAGGACTGATAACATACTGAAGGAAAGCCTTTGTCATCTTTTTTTTTCCAAATTCCTCTTTTTAATAATTTCTATAAAACCAAACGTATTTTTGCATGACAGTACAGTAGTTCAAGCAAAAACTCTTTCCCTAAATAAATGTTTCCTTTGCTCCCATGAATACACTTCTGGATACCTCTTTACATCCAAGGGTTTCTGGAATTTCCAAACATTTCCATAAAATGCAATTGATTGTTTTCTCTCTCAGCACACCTTAGGCCGATCCTTTCAAATAAAAAAGCAACACAATTCATTGAACAGCAGCAGCGTAGGATAAGTCAACTTGCACATTTTTAATCACCCCCCGCCCAAGTCGTTTACAAAATCTTTTGCAGGATTAGATACATTACTGACCTTCATACTGCAGTGTATTATACTGACCAATGGGTATAAAAACTGTAATTGCCAATGGAAATGTCTTCTTTTGATCCATTAACTCACCGAGACTGCGCGCTGCCTCTCCAAATTTACACTGCAGGATGGTTCTGAGGTATAATTATGTACTATAAGCTAAATTAAAAGGTAGAAATAAACATGGTTTTAAATTTGTATCCTTTATCTTAAAAAAATGGGAAGCATTAAACTATCACTTTTACGCCAACCACCATAATTCTATTGAGATCTGAAAATGGAGGCTTAATGTAAGTAAATTTTTTTATCCCACCAGAACGCATAGACTCAAAAGTTCCTTCCCCCCCCCCCAGGTTTACTTTAACCTGTGAGTGGTCTCCTAAAAAAAGAAAGAATAGTTCAGGAATAGCAAGACTTTAATTATTTGGAACTTGTTAATTTATACAAATTCGCCCCCATTCATTTCTTTGCAGTCATTTTGAAAAAAAAATACACCAAAAATATACAGCTTGTCTTGTATGGCTGGCGCAGCGCAGCACGGTATGGACAGTTGTGGAGCCTGGTAGCCACATGGTGTGGGCAGTCTCAGTGAGTTGAGGCATCTAGCTCTTCAACAAATCAACAAGGCAAATACAGGTAATCTAAACAGAGGACATAATGAAATTTCAAAACCCTCCTTAAAAAAAAAAAAAAATTCACATGCAAACTGGAACAAGATCCACAAGCAGGGACTTTTCCTCTCCTACCACAGCTCACCTCCGATAAAACTACATAAAAATCACCATAAAGGAAGAATGTAAAATAAAAACTTTAAAGGAGTGTCAAACAATATTTCCAGCAGGTGTGACCTTAAAAACTACACGCACAAATCCTGTGCAACCTCCAAGAACAACAACTTTTAGACGGTGGACAACACCCTATAAGCATCAGCCACCGCAGAAAGCCGCAAATATTCCATTTATGCGTCCAGTCTCCACAACGCTGAGCACACGCTTCTGAAAATTCCCCAGCCACACAGTAATAAATTCACGTGCCAATGGAATTCCTTCTCTCTAGCTGCTGCTCTGAATAACATTTTCTGTCCTCCACGTCAAAGTCCAGCACCATGAGTTTCGTCTCCTCTGTGCCATTCCTGCTGCCCACTGCACACACAAGCCGAGTGTTCGAACAGCGGAGCCTCCACACAACACCCCCACTCCCTCCACTGTCCAGAGTCACCAGGTTTCGGAGGAACTCTCCCGTCTTAAGGTCCCAGATTTTCACTGTGCCATCGTCTGAAGATGTGATCACAAACTTTTTGCTGAACTGGAGGCAGGTCACGGCGCTCTGATGTTTGTTTGGGCCTGGGGAGAAGAACGTACAAGAGATAACAAATACAGTCAAATTTTTTTAAACAGCCACTCGCTGTCGAAGAGAAAGTGGATGTCTTCATAGTGTCATTAAAATGTAAAATAAATGCAGGGTATGTGTGTGTAAGAGGGAATGAAAAGTGACTGTTAGTGCTGGCGATTGTATTATAAGGAGGCCATGAGAGCAGGTTTGACTGTTTTATCAATTTGCCAAGGAGTTTCAGTTTGAGTAAAGAGAAGCAGATCCAAACAATCATGACCATTTAATTTATGTAATTATTTTAAAAACTTTTCTGAGTTTGTTGGTCTCTTGTAACACCTCTAATCTTCAGTACTTTTAAACCCTAACTGTTGCAAGAGTCAAAACTCTTGAAGAGTTTTCTTCCCCAAACCAAAACAAAGAATAAAACAAGTGTTTGGCCTACAAACATTTCATTCACTTACACGGTGGAGCATAACAACAAAAAAATATTTTATTCAAAGGGAAAAAAGAAAGGGTGCACATTCACTATTAAATATCTACACATCCAGCTCACCTTGAAGCGTCTGCAGGCACTGGCCTGTGGTGATGTCCCACACCTTGACCGTGGAGTCTGCGTTGCCCGAGACCAGAATGTTGTCCTTCAGCTCCAGGCCACTGGTCAGTGACTGGTGACCAATCAGGGTGTGCAGACAGTTGCCGGACTCCACGTCCCACACTCGGATAGAGGTGTCCAGGGAGCCGCTCACCACGTGAACGCCGTCAAACTGAAATCACAGCAGTTATAAACGTACTTAGTTATAGTAAGAGTTTGTTTGTTTATTTGAGTAAAGAGAAGCACATTGACACAATAATGGTCATTTAGTGCAGGGAAAATGTAAGACAAGCAATCAGAAACAACAATGGAAAAGTCAAGCAGTAAGACCTACCAGTGGTGCCCCCCCCCCCCCCCCCCCCCCCAACAATTTCAAAAAAATTTTTTCCACTGCAAAAAAATTAGCCCCCTACAAAAGGGGGAAAGAAGTGGGGGTTTAAAAGGGCTTTTTCTTTTTCAAAAAAATTTTCCCCCCCCCTCCCGCACAAAAAGGCCTTTTTCCCCGGGAAAATTTTGGCCAGCCATTCGGACCCCCCACAAATTTTTCCCACAAGGTGGACCCCCCCCGGGGGCCCCCCCCCCCCCCCCCCCCCCCAACCATCCGCTAAGAGCTTTTGACACTTGCAACAAAATTACGTCATACAAAAGCTGAAGATTGGAGGTGTTAAAAGAGAGTTTAGTTTAAGTAAAAGTTTTACGGCACTTGCAACACATATGGTCATATAAATGCTGAAGAATAGATGTGTTACACATAGCTGCCACTCAGGAATTTCAAAAAAGGAGGAAATTCACGCGAAGGCGTACCCGCGCTCTCCGAAGGCCGGAGTAAAACCAGTGAGATCCAGAGGCAATATATACTGGAAAAATCTAGCCTATGTTTTTGGAAGGGAAAACTGTCATTTGTGTTAACCATAGGTTACTGAATTAAAATGTATTTTTAAAAAACAATCAACAACAACCCCAAGGCACAAAGTTGAGTAACAAGCATTTGACAGTTTGGTGCTTAAAAATCCAGTGTTTGTTGCCAGCTGGTGTCTCATAAAAAGATTTCTTTCACTTTAAACGTGTGGGCTACATCGATGTACAGCAGTATTGGATCAAGGAGGCAACACCTTTGCCGCTGTACAGAGCGATTTCTGCACCCCTGTACAATTGCGGTCCCGTTTGCACTTAGTGCTCCTGTAGTGTGTTTCTTATTCAGATCTAAACTGAATTAAAATTAAAGCCTAGGCTATCTAATCTAGAGATAGATTATTAAGGCTATCTAGATCTAGACTTACTTCCAAAGTCACAATAGCCGTCATGTAAACAACTGGGACCGCAATTGTACAGGAGTGCCGCGATTTCTTTATCGCACCAAACGCAAAGTGCAGCAAGCGGATTGTTCAATTTTCTAATGAACTTTTCAAGTCGCACACCGGCTGATTCTCTCTCATTCCAGCTCCTTTTATTTTTGCATTTTGCCTCAATTTCTCTCGAATTTCCGCCGTTTTCAATGACAACTCGGCGTGCCAACGCCCCGATACTCGATCGACACTGTGTTGCTCCACAATAAACAATGTGAAACTAGCGCAAGGCCTAGAAGAACGGAAGTAGAAAGCTACGGGCGGACATGTGCAAGCCGTGTTCTTGTCTCTCTCCCGGTTCGGTGTTTTCAGCGTGCACAAAAAAAAAAGTATCGCAATTTGTGACCGAGAGCGGTCCAGTGGAGAAAGGAAGAAAGCAGCGGGACGGAGTTTCCGCTATTTAGCACGAAAGTGGCAGCTATGGTCACAAGAGAGTAACACACAAAAAAGGAGGACAGATAAGGACAAGAGATGTTTGACAAGAAAGAAGGAACAAACTACATTAGAGCACCAACAACCACCCACAAGTTATAAATGTATGAGGTTCCCAAAACAATTGAGATCTTCCAAAGCATCAAAAAGTATATACAGTGGAGTTCAATTGAAATTAACAGTTAATCTGCAAACAGCAGTAAACTAAAAGAATATAAAAACCCAACTGTTTTTTTTATTAGAGCAACCTCTCTGAACTGAAAACCCAGTTGAACAGAACAAAATCTAACAATCCAGCAGATTCTCGTTTAAGTAAGTCTACAGTACAAGAAAAGAAACACGTCTGTAAGGAAAACACACTACAGTGGAATCCTGTTATAACGAAAGGGAGGGGACCGGTACGGAATGTCCGTTATAGCGGGATTCTCGTTGTAAAGGACCCCATAATAAATTCAAAGGAAATAATAAAGTATGCCTAATCTATGAGTTTGGTGTTCTATTTATTTCTTTTTATCTCCTCTGATGATGGTTTTGTTCAACATGACCTCTAGATCTTACTTGATCAAAAATTGAATCAGGTTTCTTTCTCTAGCGTTAGCGATGTTGACTATCAGAACGAAAGTTCTCTAGACTAACTCGCCTGCTGTGTTTTGCCCCACCCCACCAAACCCTGAGGTGCGTTCCTGCGTCTGCTTGCGCACATCACACATTCACTCCATGATCCATCACAGCACTGTGACCTCTCCATCCCCGCATCAGAGAAGTGCGAGGCATGATGATAGTTTCTCAACAGCATGCCACACCCTCCCCACTCATTCGCTCCGGCCTTCATCGTTGGCACACATAGGCTCTCCCATTCTTTGTTTCGCTTGATCACAAACAAGTTTCTCAACTGGCGAGGTTTTATATGTATAAATGGCTGTGCACAGAAGCCGGAATATTCCGCTATAACTGACTTGCGCGTTTATCTGATTGCGCTACAGCAGTATTTTATTTACAAAGATAAAGAAGGGGAAAAAATGGGGTTTTAGAATAATATCTTTATAACAGACTTCTCGTTAATTCAGGACTCGTTATAAGTGGACTCCACTGTATTTTGGTAAACACAGTGTGGCAAAAGAAAATAAAAGGATACCTGATGAGGAATATAAAAAGTAGAGGAGAAAGAAATACATTCTATGGAAAAGTGCGACATAGTACTAGAAAGATGAATAACCTCTATCGAAAAATTACATTAACATTGCACAAGAAAAATAATTTCATTTTAGTAAGAGTTTAACACAACTTGCAACACAATAAGGTCATACAAATGCCAAAGATTAGGGGTGTTACAAAAAGGAGGAGAGAAAAGGATAACAACACCAAAGCACCCGCCAACCACCCACGAATAAACTCTATTGGACATGACAGCTTACTAAAAGAAAGAAAAGAAACAGACTAGTAACAAATAAACACTATTGGAATAAGGGCAAGTAGTCTAAATCTTTAAAAATCACATCCAAAAAAATAGAGCATATTGTAGAGTATGGAAAGGCACTATACAAAACGCAGTTATCATTATTTATTATTTACCTGTAAGGAATAAACTCTGTTGGAATGGCCTTGAAGCGTGTGAAGACAGGTCTCTGTCTCAGGGTCCCAGACGCGCACCGTGTAGTCATAGGCCCCGCTGACCACACGCTTGCCATCAAACTGCACACACCTCACGGCCGCCACATGGCCCATCAGGATATGTTTACAAACACCGGTATCAACGTCCCACACCCGCAGGGTCGCATCTCTGGAACCACTCACCACTCTGACAAGAGATTTAAATAAAATAAAAATAAATGTAAGTGTTTTTCATCCCCATCGACACAATTTAGATTATTTAGTAGAAGGCAGGCTTCTTTGGCTTTGCTTGTCAGAGCCAATCCAGGATACACCATCCAAGAAGAAAAACAAACCAAAAGAAAAAAAAAGCTCCCCCAACAAACAAACAAAAAACCCCCCCTAAAAATACAAACCACTTATGAACTAAACATGTCTTCCATATGCGATGGCGAAGAGCCTAAACACTACACCACAGGCAGGTATGTGGCTACACTGATCTTTGAAAGCAGGTGGAAAAATTATTTATAATCTTAATTTGGTATACACTTTAAAGTAAGACAGAAAGCACTATCGCTACAGACGCCTTGACTGCTTCATTGAAAAGGATGTAGGCATTTTACTGCTGTAGTCATAACACAACTGCCAGTGTCATTCTTGCTGCTTTGAGTAAATTTTTTTAGAAAGTGCTGAGCAAAGTAAACCTCATAACAGGAGAAAAAGTGAAGATGTTTCGGTCATTGGATTTTTAGTACACAAAGCAGAACCCTGTTCTGTTGAAATCTGAAACAACCAGGGAAAAACAAAACGATGTAAGCAACTATGTTATGACCCTGACGTTATGGAACAGTTGTCAACGTATTGTCTTTTCCTCACTAGTTGGCCCTACCGTTGATATGCACCCTCCAACCACCTACTTTTTCCATTTACATAAATTTTACAAGCTCCACATAATAAAAAAAAAAAAAACCGAAAAGATTCAGAATTAGCCAGACAAGGGGAACAACAACAAACACAATGAGGCACTCACTGGTTCTCATGCAGCGACATACACCTGACGGTGGAGGAGTGACCATACAACGTGTGTCGACACTGACCCGTCTCAGCGTTCCACACTTTGAGCGTCCGGTCCGTGGAGCCGCTGATGACCACTGTGCCAGACATCTGGGAGGACCAGACGCCCCCCGTGTGACCTATGAGGGTCCTTAGGCACTGAGGGAAAAAAACAACACAATTGACTTATTCCACTTTGAATAAACTGCAACAATTAATCATGCTCTCATCTGCCAACGGGTAAAAAATAAAAAATCAAGAAGGAAAAAACTACATTTTTTCTGTTGTAATTTTAACTGTAAATGTTTAACAGTTTAAATGACAGTTACATCAAGATGATAAAAAGACTCTGAAATATTGAATTTCAATGAGAGTAATATATAACATAATTTCTATGTATACCTGCATGTGTTTTTACGGCCCCTGTGCAACCAAGAAAAATTTCGCGCTCGGAAAATAAAGTATCATCTTAATCTAAAAAAATAAAAGCTGTTTCCTGAGATTAATGCCTGGCACTCAGATGGGCAAGGACTTAAAATTCTGTCCACAAAGTCACTGGTAAACAAGATCACCAATTAGCCATTTTTGTCACACTGAGAATTGGCAAAATTAAAGCACTCATGTCAACTGTGCTTTACAGTAACATGTACACAAGAAAAAATTTGTTGGTTTCTTTGACTTACCTTCCCTGAGGTAACTGACCATACTTTGAGCGTGTTGTCATCAGACCCACTGACCACTCGATTCCCACAAAACTCCAAGCATGTGATCACATGGTCATCATGTCCTTTCAGAATCTGGAAAAGTTAGAAAAGAATAAGTAAAAAAAACACCTAAAAACATTATATTTCTGTGACAAAAAAAAAAAAAAAAAAAAAGAACAAGAAAGAACATAATTTCTGTGATTAAATAAAAAAGAGAGAAAGAACATGGTATATATATGACGCTGGGTCAACATTTCAAACTTCTTGATCAAGTGCACAACATTCCACTTACAGGCCTCAGAGACATAAGATGTCCAGATGCTGGCACATTGGCTTGGTGTTTCACCACATACACAGGATGCAAGAAGACATGGGGGACTGCATTTTACTTCTATTTCAATTGAGAAAAAAAACCCAACAAACCTTCGGAAGCCGCTTGACTCCTTTCCTCCAATTATGCTCTATCTGTGACTGTCGCATGAAGAGAGCTTTGAAGGGACTCCTGCTGGAGTGCCGTCGACGCATGCGGGACCCGTAGACCATCTCCTCGTCGATGCCTTCCTCTCGACACTTCTCCCTCCAAAGGAGGTTGTCCTCCGCCAGGACCCGCCAGTAGCGACACGTCTGTGCTGCCCTCAGCAGGTCACGGGGACCCAGGAAGGAGAGAACGTACAATGCCAGCTGGGAGAAAAAATAAGCCATAAGAAATAAGTGAAATGGGACGGAAATATTCAGAGACATGGAAGCTCACAGCTCCAGCAGCAAGGAAACTGCAGAGCTTTATAAACAGATGCCTAAGAAGGATAGTGGGGATCAAATGGTACGATCGAGTCACAAATGCTCGACTGTGAGAAGGAACAAGCCAAAGGCCGGTACAGGAAGACATACAGGAGAAGAAATAGAAATGGATTGGGCACACCCTGAGGAGACCCCTGACAAGCATCATCAGTCAGGCTTTGATGTGCAATCCACAAGGAAAACGTAAGAAAGGAAGACCAAAGATGACATGGAGGCGATCGGTACAAGCGGAAATGGAAAAGGCGGGGACATCATGGAAACAGCTAGAAAAGGATGCACAGGACAGGCTTCCCTGGAGAAATATGGTTTTGGGTTGTTTTTTTCATACGAGTTTTACGGAACTTTCAACACAATAAGATCATATAAGTGCCGAATATTAGAAGTGTTACAAGGGAGTAACAGACACAAAAAAGATGGAGGGGAGATAAAGATGATAGTCGTTTGATAGGAAAGAAGGAGCAAACCACACCAGGGCACCCGCCAACCACCCACAAATGTTGTTGATGGCCTATGCTCCACTGGGAGTTAAAAAGGGCAAGAGAGAGAGAGAGGGACGAAAAATAAATAGCATGAAAATGAAAGAAGAGAAATAGATAACATGACAAGAGAGAAATGGAAAAATAAACAATGCATAATTAAAGAAATGGAAAAAAGATCAGGTGAAAAGAGGCAGAATGGTGAAACACAAACGAAAGTATGTTCACTTAAACTGGATAACACACAATTTTTAAAAAATGAGACAGAAAAGAAGTATGAACTACTAATTACCCCCTTAAGCCAACCAGGACTCAACTCGCCCCCCCCCCCCCCCCCCTCAACTCAACCACTGCCTTTCCCCCAACAACTGGGTCCAGCAGAAGAAGACAACAGAAAACAAACAGAATGTAAACACACAAATAAAGCCATTCATACACACCTCTTTGGGCAAAAGTGATATGAAGTCCCTCTGGAACTGCGGTTCGATGACCTGCATCATATGTCGCACCTGAGTTGGGTCGCACAATGTGATCAGCTCATCCACAGCCATCATGCGCTCAGCGTTGCTCCAAGCCTGGGAACAAAAGATGGGGTTGATTGCTTCTGAGTAAAGAAAAGTATACCGAGACGGACAAAAACATTGTGGGAGGAGGGAAGAAGGAAAGAAGAAGAGTCCGCCTGGGCAGTGCCCTCCAACCGACAATCATAAATAGCCGGAGCTCATTTGAGATTGTGGAAAGAAAATTGTATCAACACAATAATGGTGAGCTTTACTTCAAGTCTGGAATCACAAGCAGAGGGGAATTTTTTTTGCTTTTTGGAGGTTTCTTTGGTAAGTGTTTAACGGCACTCGCAACTGCGTACGGTCATATAAGCGCAGGCCACATTAAACATTTTTCAGTTGGTAAGAAATTTTGTATTTTGCCCGGGTGGCGGCTGGAGCCTACTCTTATGGATTTTAGACCACGAAGGGATCTTTAATGTGCGTAACTTGCACACGGGACCTCCGAGATTTTTCGCCCTTGTCCTAAAAGGCTAAATGTAGATCTTTCCTACCAGGAGATCAGGGGTGTGGGAGGCAGAAAGACAGGACACCAGTAGCAAGGAGCCAAGGAGTAGCAGTAGAAAGGCAGCAGAAAGAGTCAGGAGCCCAGAGGAGGGGGGCAAAGGAGGTGAGGGGCAGAAAGTGGAGACAAAAGCAGATGACAGATCATTGCTAGAGTGCAGAAAAGGAGGTGAAAGGAGACAATTTTAGAGAAGAAAATTTTTCCGTCGCTACCCGGATTCAAACCCGGGACCTTTGAATCAGAGGCGAACACCTTAACCTCTGGTCCACGAGAGCCCCAGGGGGAATTTAATTGTTTGAAACTGAGATAAAAAGAAGTGTGTCAACACATATAAATATTGGTGAACACTGCTCCCAACCTGCTTATTACAAAAGTAGAAGTTTATTTGAACAAAGAGCAGAACATAAATATGACAGTGACCATTTAGACCTGGGAAAAAGCAGGACTGAGGATCAATTTGAAATTTTTTAAGTGAATAGAATGTAAAATATATTTAGTGTACAGAGAAATACATCAACACAATTATGGGCATTTAGTGCTGGGAAACAGCAATATGGACTGACAGAAATGAGTGGCCAGAAGGAAGGAAAAATGCAGGAACAACCAGAGGCACCTTCTGACCACTCACCTACAGGGACTGTACAATGTTGAATTAAAACAATTTTTGGGAAAGGGAGAGATGGTTTTAAACATTCTTTAACACTTTGCAGTAACACAGCCATCAGTACAAAATACCCCATCTGGTTACCCAGCCAGGAGAGTGACTACAACGGACTTCTCGAGCCTGACGCACAACCACGCCAGGTGACTGGTACTGATAATTTTCACCGTCGCATTATTGCGCCAAGTGACCGCAAAGTGTATAACACTAGATTGTGTTACGAGAGTTGTTTTAATTAAGCACAACGAAACTCACATTTGACAAACAGCATGTCAACAAAAGGAGAAGAATTCCCAGATTTTTAAAATTTATTAAAATCAATCAAACACATTGTATTCACCAAACACTTAAACCAGCATAATCTGACTCTGGCGCTCATATGACCTTATGCAGTTGCCAGCGCCGTAAAACCCTCTACTATAATAATAAACTCTGACTCAATGAAGTCCCATGCCCAGTGAACAGTCCCCACATTTTTCTCCCGCAATCAACATTGTCTCCTCTTTTCCAAGTGACCGTCAATCATGCTGCACTGTAGATCATTACAGGCTCACGGCATATGGCGGATTTCACGGTAAGGGTGTGAGAGACAACACGGGGTTTATTTTTTAAATAAAATTCTCCTGTTGTACTGTTTTGTGTTCACTTTGTGTTGTTTTGATTGCTTATGTGCCCAATAAACACGTGAATAAAAAGCTAGTGTTGACTTCGTTTATTTTGTTTGATATTTTGCGTAACAGGGTCACGGACGTTAGAATTGAGACTTACAGCGTTTCCCGATGTTCACGAGTCTGACAATTTTTGTTTTAAATGGCATATTATGCTAGATTTTCTCCAAAAATGGCTAGAAAACCCAAGAAGTATGTTTTTCTCATGTGATGAGTGAAAAAAACCTAAATGGAGCACCCGTTTAAAACGGCAACGGACAGAGCGAAATGGTGGTCCTAAATCGCGGGTGAAAGTCTTACATTTTGACTCTACATAAAGTGCTAAATTTACTTCCAAAAGCAAAATGAATGGAAGTTTTTATGCTCAGACTATTCAATACTCATTTCTACTTGTATTAGTTTTAGCCGTAATTTGCGAAAATTGAAGAAATTATTAGTAGATTCGAGAGTATTTTGTGAAGCATCTCTCTCGCTGAGTTTCCGACAACTTACGTGCGCATTTCTCGGAGATTTACGGAAAATCACGAGGGCTTTCCGCGAAGCCGAGGCTAAAAACTACTTCCGTTTGGCGCCCTTCTTTCATTCTTTAGCGTCCTTTTCGATGAGGTGGATGTTTTGTCTTGTTTTCCAAGTTTTTTCTCTGTAAGACTACAATGTGCGGAACCCACAACGTCATTACAAATCCAACCCAATTACACACGCTTATCTGTCATATTTATTATGTTTATATTGATTGAAAGACGGCAACACAACGTGCAGCACGTGTAGGAAGTAAACAAATGACGTTAGCGACAAAAATAGCGAGTTCTCTTTGTGATTGTCTTGTTTGATACCGATAAAGCGATGGTCGCAGATGATGATTTCGGGGTCTTATAGGCTGTTCCAACGTTGTGAGCCATTTTTTCAACTGATTTTTTTTTCTTTTTCTTTTAGTTATTCCCTTTTTATTGTTTATTTTTATTTTTATTATTTTCAAATATTGTGTGCATAATGATTTTTGTGGACAGTGAATTCAATAAAATGGATTATTAACAGAATTTGGTGATATTCATGGATTGTATTGTTTGCACCAAGGCAGTCCAAGGTAAGGTTATATTTTATTGAATAACTTTTTCTACAAGCTTGTGCGGTCTCTCTAATTTTTTTTTAAATTCCTCTTTGAAAGACCTTTCCATTGATACAAAATACATAACCTTTTGAAAAAGTTCAAAATCCTGCAAAAAAAAAAAAAAAGTGGGAAAGTGGGAAACCTGTGGGACCTCACCGTGAAATCCGCCATATGACACATAGTACACTGAGACTGACCTACCGCGGACACAACGAGGACAAAGGAGAAATTTTTACTCATCGTTGTTAGATTTCGATCCAGGAGAGTTTTGACTGCAAGGTGAACATTGTATTTTCCGACTATGAGGCCTCAGAAAACTAATGATATTCAATATTAAACTAATCGATTTGCTAAACATATTTCAAACACAAAAGTTAAAACATAATTCTTTGACTACAAACATACAATATTTTTTTAAGTACCTGAAATGTTTTCAACCAGTCATCCATCTTAGGTGGAGGATTTTCCTTTGAGGGTATTTTGCCTCTGGGCATTTGTGCAAGGCGCCACCTGGGTACCTTAGCCAAACTTTGCCCACAAGCATGACAGCTGTAGAATAAAATGTTTCTTCAATGTACAAAACTATTCAACTAAATATCTTAAATACATCAAGTCAAAACAATACTAATCCTTTCAAAGTTACTGTCCTATCTAAAAATCATACTTACGGAGACTATGTACTGTAAGTGAAAAAAAGATTTCTACTCAAAAAATTGTGTATACACATACACAAAACACTTCAATAATAAACACAAAAAAAACCCCAACAAAATCTTTACAGACTGCTAAAGGCTGTGCACGAAAAACAATTTTTTTTAAAATCAATTAATACCAAGGAGTAATATATTTTTAAGTTAGTCCAATCCAAACACATAGTGACTGCCTACTCATTTCATTCCCTTAAATAGATAAATTTGTCCCAATCCAAACAAAACTCCCATCTAATCTTACCCCAGAGCAGACTGCTTCATAAATTTGAGTGCTAAAATCCCTTTGACAAAAATAGTTGCTCTCAAAATATCATTCTTCATATTCACCACAAGCTCCTATGACATAGTCAACTTTTACGAATTACAATCTGCAAAATGCTGCCTCTGTCTGAAAAATGGGACTCACCTGACCATTGCCATTCTAAGCTTTTTCCCAGGAGACACATCCCCTTCTCCATTGTCATACTCTTTATCTTCTCTACCAAAGGATTTCCGTTTAATCTGCAAAGATGTTCAGAAAAAACATGCATAACGATATAACTATAAAGTATAAAATGTGATTTTAACAGACTGATATAAACAAACTTTAAAAATATATATACATACATAATGTCATTACTCTATTACTGTTACCTATTCACAAAAATTTTATTTTCCAAAAAAAACTACTTTCACCTCCTTTCCTACTCTCTAGCAATGTTCTGTCGCCTGCTTTTTTTGGTCTCCACTTCCAATTTTATTTTCCAAAAAAAAAAAAAAAAAAAAAAAAAAAAAAAGTACTAAGAACTCTTTTGCATTTCTTTAAATGACTTGCCCACACACCTTTTCTAGATAATCTACACACAGAAACCTCAGCTGGTTGCAGTAATTGACGATGTACTTACAGCGGACTGCCGCGACACAGGAGACATTTCAAAACTATCCTCTCGGTGAGAACATCCTCCGGACCTCGTAGTTCTAAAACTGCAGTTCAGAGAATTCCTCGAGCTATTGTGAGAACTAAAAGCCTCGTCCCTGCCCTCCTCTCCTTCCTCGGGGTCAGCCTCTTCCGTCTCTTCGTCTTCATTGTTCCCGTTATCACTGGCATCGTCGTCGTTATCACAGTCATCTGCCAGACTCTCCCCTGACTGGCTTAAGACACTTTCTGCGTCATCGTTGTTGACACTCTCCTCCTCCTCCCCATCCGATATGTCTTCTGCCTCCTCACCAGCGTGCTGATTGTCCAGTAAGTTACCGTCGCTGCACCTGTCTGCATTTTCCGCCTGCGCATCTGCTCTGTCAGCATTTCCAAAGCGATCGTCGCCCTCATCGTCCCCGTCGTTACCACTGTCTTCTTCATTGCCGCTGTTGTTGAGCGAGGCCTTGCTGCAGCTGCCCCCGCTTCGCGTCACGATAAATGTGGTGGTGGCGCTCTCGGCAGGGGGTGTCTCTGTGGAGCAACCCTGGCCTAGTCGCAAGGCAGCACTCTGTGAGCGAGTGAAGTGCCAGGTGGTCGGCGAGCTGAGGCTGTGTGGGCAGTCCGTCCCGCTGACAGAAGGCTCCACAGAAGTGTGGTCACCCAGGTCTTGTACGCTGCACTGCTGTCTGGTTGCACGCCGATGACTGCAAGAAAAAGCAAAAGTTTATTAGTTTAGTTTTCGTAAGAGTTTTATGGCACAAGTAGATCATATTAGTGCTGAAGATTAGAAGTTTGTTTTGTATGAGTTTTACGGCGCTCACAACCAAGATTAGAAGTGTTACCACGCAGTAATATACAAAGAAAAGAAAGAGGAGAGATAACGATGATTGACAGATGTTTGATAGGAAAGAAGAAGCAAACCACACTGAAGCATCCAACTCAACACATTCAAAATAAAACAAAAGATGTCAATACAATAATTATCAAGTTAAGAGGAATAATATGATGATGAAAAACATTTTTCAGTTGAACAAAAGCATAATTACCTAATGATTATCATTTGTTTGTTTTAGTAAAGGTTTTACGGCGCTCGCAACTGCATAAGGTCATATGAGCGCCAGAAGATTAGAGATGTTACAAGAGAGTAACAAACATAAAAAAGAAGGAGGGGAGATAAGGACGATAGATGTTTGATAGGAAAGAAGAAGCAAACCACACCAGAGCACCTGCCAACCACCCACTAATGATTATCAAGCAGTATAAAAATAATTTTAAGTTAAACAAAGCATGCATACTAATATACTGATTATCAAGTTATGTGGACAATAGCAACATAGCAAATAATAAGAAGGTAATGTAAAAAAAAAAAAATGTCATCCAATAACTTTTCAAGATGAGAAAGCTTTCTATAAAATGCCCACAAGAAGTCTCATCAACAAAATACTGAGGATCGGACCACGCAAAACTTGGCTCAATGGCATTAAAGCATTATATATGTTCTCCAAAAGAACAACATAACAGAAGCCACCCACCTAGCTCATGACCGAAAATTGAATCTCAGCTTGACCTCTAACAATACAGGAGGACGGATAAAGTGATAAAAAATGGTGAAAAGGCATAGGTTTAAATGCTCCTATCAAAACTATTAGGTCATTTACGAGGCGGGACTTCCGAGTTTAACGCCCATCTCCAAAAGAACTGAGCCAAGTGGGAAATTCGTGTAAAGAGCCTTTCCCAAGGATACAATGTCGGACACAGCAGAGGCTTGAACCCCCTAACCCGCAATCTCACGATTACGAGCCCGGTAGCCTGTAAAGTAAAGTAAGGTACTTACATTTGTGGGCCATTTTTCTTTTTTGAGGCGGGGGATGTACGACAACGACAGACAATTCTATCTTTATTCTGCTCAATGATGGTAGGGCTAATACCTGGCACTTGTGCCAAGTCCACCACGCTGCAGAACCCCCCACTTTCCTGAAAGAGGGACAAAACAAATAACAAACAATGTTAGCATTTATGCGTAGAAAGACAAATATACAAAAGCAAAATGAACATATGCACTTTCAAATTGTCTTGAGCACCCTGTGTAGCAGTGTCAAACAAGTTGAGCATTTTACTCACAACAGGTTTAATGTTTAGATGACTTTAAAAAATAGAAATAATAAGAGGTATTTTTGTGTCCTGCAACAAGACTGAAGTTGTTTTGTACTTTAGAGAAAGGGAAAACATTCATCTCTGAACTTTAAACAAACAAAAAATCCATAGTTAACAACATTACCTACGTCTTAGGTTTTTATCAAAATAAATCTAAATTGCTGCATGCTTATATGACAAGAAAGAAAAGTAAACTTACCCGTCTGTGTTTAATGATGGCCTCAGCTCTATGCTGCCCTACACCGGCAAGATTTTCAAGGTCAGTCACAGAAGCAGTGTTAATATCTATCTTCTTGCCAGCCATCAAAGCTCAAAGGCCATAACCACACTGTTGAAGAAATCATAATAATCATGGAAAATACCCGATTCTTGCCTTCTAAAATGTTCATTTAAAATAAAAATTAGTACCAAAAAAACAAATATATAGATCTAGTAACTTTAACACAAAAAAGGACATGATATCTCACATTCCTAAACTCTCTAAAGACCTCCAAGCATGCAGGAAGTCAAATTATCACATATAATTCTTCAAATGATCACCAGAAAACCTTTCCTTTTTTTTCTAAATACAGTCAAACCTGTGTAAGACAGCCACCCATTGTCAAAGAGAAAGTGGCCGTATAAGACAGGTGGCCGTCTTAGGCAGGACTGATCAAGATGAAGAAAACAAACCATTCCCATCTGAGGTCCCAATCGAAAGTGGCCGCACAGTTGTTGTTTATGTTGTGGTTGTTGTTTATGTTGTGGTTGTTGTTGTTGGTTTGTATTTTGTTGGTAATTTTTTTTTTTTTTGTTGCTGATTTTGCTCCAAGGTGATAATAAAACGAAATGTATCAGACGAGGAAAACAGAGTGCCATGTGAAAACAAACACATGGGTCGCCACCACTCGGAGAACGAGCGACGCTTCTGTCACAAGTTCATGTTGACGTCCTTTGTTACTTTGTTACAGACTGGGTAAACATTGACCACTCATCTCACTTACGATTTGTGTATGAGTTCTGGGCGGGGTTTATGGGTTATGAGGGATCACACGCTTACCTCACCAGCAGCTGAAAATTGGTACCTATCGGTCAACAGTGGGAGGGGCCTACGCAACATGATCGGTTGGAGAGACTACCTAACAACAACGATAGGTGATTGAATTATGACGGCTCGTCCACAACGCCAGGGGCCAATGCACAGTTTATGACAAAACGTAATGGAGTCACTAAGGTGGCCGTCTAAGACAGGTGTTATTGCTTAGTGTGATAGGGGTTGTGTGTTAAAATATGGTGGCTGCGGCCGCGGTGGACAGGTGCCCGTTTTACACAGTTAAATTATATAGAAAAAACGCAAGGGGGGAAATGGAAAGTGGCCGTTTGTACAGGTGGCCGTCTTATAGAGGTGGCTGTCAGGGCAGGTTTGACTGTAGTTCACATGTGGATAGAAAAAACAACTTTTGGAGTATCATTGTTCAGAGCAAAGGAGAATGTGCTGAAAATACTGATAATATAATTATCAAGAATATTTTGGAATTTTTAATCAATCCAGAGACATGCTCCTCTCTATTAGGAGTTGTTTCAAAAACTCCTGAAAACCTTAAGAGATCTATTCAATGTCCACACTTCAACCCCACAGTCAAGTAACAAAATCTGAAGGGAGGTACCAGGAATGCCCTATGCCCTTACAGAAGAACACAGATTTTAAAAAACCCAAAAAACAAGTTCAGCCTGAAAACAGACCCGGATACCCCCCCCCCCCCCCAAAAAAAAAAAAACCTAAAAAAAACTGTGCAGCTACATGGATCCCAGTCCTTTTTTTGGTAAGTGTTTAACAGCGCTTGGAGCTGCATAAGGTCATATGAGCGCACGGGACACGTTAAACACTTTCAGCTTAGGAAACTTTAAATTTTGCTCGGGTAGTGGCCAAAGCCTACTCCTATCGATTTTCGACCACCAAAGAATCTTTAACATGCGCAACTTGCACACAGGACCTCCGCCATTTTTCTCCCTTGTCTGAGAAAGCTAGGAGTAGACCTTTCCTACCATAATATCAGGGGTGTGGCTGAAAGGCAGCAGTAATACCAATTCAAATCACTACTTTTAAAAATCATATCAATAATGAATGAGTTTTCATTCATCCCCTTATGAGTCAGATGGGAGTAAGTTAACACATGGACCGATGTGCACAACAACAGTGACTATTGTCACTCTGGACTCAGTCATCAGTAGTATCAAAATGCAGTCACAATACAAACTTATATAGATATCTCGGGGCACACCTTTCACTAGAACATGACTCATCCACCCTTCAGGCACTAAGAGTAGATTGAATGAAAAAATCCCATGACAGAACAAGTTTTTCCTCTCAGGTCATTTATTGGGAGTAGAGAAAAGCACATCAGCACAATAAGTCATGTGGTCAAAGGAGAAAAACAAAACAACCCCCCCCCCCCCCACCAAGACAGACAAACTACTGCTTACAGAGGGAAAGAAAACAAACAGGACCGACCAATGACGCCATCCAACATAAGTTAAGTCCAAAACTACCTCTATAGTCTATTATCATAAACCTTCATGATGTTTTTATCTCTGTCATTTCTACTTGAACTAATTACTTGCGTCCAGCACAGATCACTCAAACGCTGAAGACTCAAATTCACCGATAGCTCAAACAAGGTACCATTCCCTGCATTTCCTTTGAAACACTCTTTTGTTGAACACCAGGTCAGAACAAATGTACCAAACAGCTCATCTTGAAAATCCCAGTCAAATTTTTCCTTACAATTGTCTCAAATATTTATAAATCGCCCTGAGCACATGATGGAAAATAAATACACATCCATCACCATCATGTATCAGATTACATGAGTCCACCACGCTTGCCCCTGCACAGGGTGATACACACACACACTGCTGGTATTTTTTAGACGTATGCATCATTGCACATTACAAATGTTCAAACCTTTACTTTATGAATTTAATCATGTGGGGGTGGGTGCTGGGGTGTGACAGAAAAAAGACAGTGTAGTGCTACATTGGGCCATATATATAGTGTGTGAATCATGTTTGTGTTTGTGAACATGTGTGTGGTTGCTTGCACGTGAAGTTATGGATCAGGAATTAATTACACAAGAGGGGTGGTTGGGATGCCCTGACTAGTGTAGGTTACTTGATATGATTGTGATCTGATGTAAGAACAATTTTCAAAATTTTAGGGGAATGGCAAATCAACACCACTCTCTTCCTTTCTCATTCTGTGACACCGAACAAGGTACATGTATGCACTCTAAATACCCCATCCTTCCATCAGTTCCAGGTGTACATTTCTTGCTGGCAGTGATTTAATCTTACCCCCCATTATACCATCACAGTTACCGCCCATGATTTTTTGCAAAATTTCTCTAAATTTTTTTCTATCACGGTTTATTCAAATTACCGACTTATGTAGTGTCGAACACATTTGTTCAACCCTGATGTCTTTGAGATATCTGAGCACAAGTTGCTCTAATTTTTATTTCATCTTTTCATCTTAATAAAACAAATCTAATTAAGAGATTGCAGAAAAGAATTCCCCCCCCCCCCCCCCCCCCCACAAAATTATTTTTTTAATTAAAAATTTATTTAAAAAAACAAAACAAACAAAAAAAAACCTGAATTAAATGCTTGGATCTAGATAATAATACCTCTCTAGTTTAGGGCAATTGTGGAGGAGTGGAATCTAAATCTAGTTATGAAAGTGTCATCTCCAAAAATACCGCTTCAGACTGACTGGCTCAAATGCTCTATATGAAATAAAGTGAGCTGATATCAGATTAGAAGACCTTGTAAAATATAGGTAAAATTTCCTTGGCCTTAGATATCCCAAACTGTGAGAATAGTGCGTCTGCAGCAGACATGCTTTTCCCAACTGTTTGACCCATGTGGTGATACTAATTCTATTGGATTAGGATTTTTTCGTTTTCTTAAAAAAGTGCATTAACTTCCTGTAATAATACACACCGGACTATAACTATAATAAAGGGAGAGAATATTTGTCATTTTAATTTGTCTTGATCCTGATGTAGTTTTCTAGCCTACAAACTTTCACCCAAGGGCTTGGAACACACATTAATGCCCTTTTCTGAAGGAAATAAACACACTGTTGACAGAAAAAAAAATTACAATTCACTACAATTTTGTTAAAAAGTGGATTGAGAAACTGTGAAAGAAAATCAGAAAAAAAGGGAACAGAGAAAATACAATGCATGTACGTAACTTGATTAAGGCTGCTCTTATTGGCCTTAGAGAAGTGTATAATTATAATATAAAATAATTTCTCTGATATTTAATGTGGATTTTGCAGTTCAATTGTCATTTAAAATTATCATTTGTGGATTGGGGGGGCGCGCGCGCCAAACACAGGGGAGATAACTCGCAATTTTGGGTGGGCAAATAATAAATGTTCTAGGAGAAATTTTATATGCCCCTGTGGGCCAATAAGCACTCCATTTGACGAGAGCCTGATTCCACCACGCTGCCTCACATTTGTTTTATCAGCCGGCGTCCCACGTGGGCTTCTTTCAGTAGATCTCTTATTTTTATTACCAGCTTTAGGCTAACATCATTTGCTAAAGGTTACCGTAAGTCATTTCATTTAGCCCTTCTCTGTATGCACCCAAAGATCGGTTTTTAATATAGGGTCTAAATAGAGAAACTTTTTTTAAATTGCTAGATAAAGATTTTTTTATTTGTTGTTGTGGTCGCTGGCCTGTAGACGTGACATACAAAGTTTCGCGGGTATAGGTAAATTTTTTTTAAAGATCTAGATTTCTTCTTTTTTTTTTTTACGCCGGCACACGAAAGTGAGACTACAAATTTCTCATTCTGTGACACCGACACCACCCTGCCCCACATTTCAGTGTAAGGGTATAGATTTCATCCCACGGCTGTCTAGACATCTCCGCGTGAGTCTCAAAAAGTACTCACCCCGTCTCTTGAATCGTGTTTCTTTGGCGTACGTTAAAGTGTGGTGTAGAAGAAAATAATAATAATGATATATCAACTGTTTGATGCTTTAGGTGTATGCAAATGCTGTAAAGCCCTCAATGTTTTTGGACCTGCTTAAGGCTAACATCAAAGAAAGCGTGTCGGAATCTTAGTTTTCAGTGACCTTTATGAATGAGATTTTAGATTCTAATTTGTCATCCAACATTTAAACCAGCTCGCAAAGGTCTGTTGGATTTTATTTTTTTTGGCG